AAAGCATGCCGTCTCTCTTTTCGGGCACCAGAAAGTGGCATTTATTGTAAGCACAGATTATTGATACTTTTTTCTTCTTTACAGTATACGTTGATCTGTTTTATTGTTTGTATGAAAACTAAAACACAGCACGATTTAGGGAAGCTACAGGCTTATTATAGACTGCGACATTGCACAGCATGTACAAAGCGTATTGGGAATACACTTTTCTTAAAGCAGGACTGTACTATACTTGTGGCTATTTGTGCCCTAGAACCAACAGTGCCTAAGCGGTACCCGTTGGTCCCCCATAGTCCTCTTTTTCTTACAGTATGTTAATTGAGAGCTGATTTGATGAGATGACCACCTGTCAGTGACCACGCATGGAGGTCTAATCCCTCCTGGCCAAATAAGTGCAGATAGGCTTTAAAATGGTCACAATATTTTATTTCTTCAAATTGGTAGCCAAGCTGGCATTCAAAATAAATGCAATTTCCGTTTTTACACATTATCGAGAAGACCCTTGAGCTGAGTTCATATTAAACCTTTTAAACATTTTAATCCTTTTGAATAACCCTAGAAACTGAGAAGAATATTGCTTGTCGAGCTAAACGACAATAAGCGCCTTCAAATATGTATTGAATTGAAGGAGGTTCATCAAGGAGCTAGGTTTTGTTAATCACGCTCCATTTCTTGGAATGAAATGTATTGGTCTCGATTGCTGCGTGAATGAGAAAGACATACTCATTTGTCGTTGTCAACTTGTCAGACTTCTCGGTAATTACACTGCAAAATGTTTAATGAAGCAACACCTCGTTACTATGATATAACGAACTTCGTGAATTGAACTCTCTGAGATTTCGAAGGTTTGCAGTTAATTTGAATGACTAGTGAAAGAGAAATCGTAAGATTTTATGAGAAAGAAGCTTTTGAAAAGGGTATTTTGGGAAAGGTGGAGTGTAAGAACGAGATAAAATACAGAAAGTTAAAATGGGCGATGAAGAATTCAAAGCTACATAATCTTGAAGGAGAGAGGAAAAGAGATGTGCTTTGGTGTATACATTGAATCGAAAACAGGGCGGGGGGGGGGGGGGGAGGTAAACGGATGTCACACGATCTTATACAATTTTCTTTTACGTACCACATCGACATGACATGAGATATTAGATGAAGGAGGAAAAGGATGAGTAACATTAAAGCACTATGGCAAGGAAGAATTATCCTTACAGACACAGATGTCATAATCGTATAAAAACAATTATTACAAATACATAGGCCTATATATCAAAACAATACAAGCAGTATACACACTTTACAGGCTTTTATGCTTATATATGTACTGCAATTGTGGATTCTTTTGTCTTCCCCTACTGAACGATATACTCCCGTATTCTCAGTGAGTCTGTGATAAAATTGATTGCTTCTGCCATTATGTTCTTTATTTGGATCAGTATGTTTACCGTCTCCGGACCTAAAGCAACTTAGTTGCATGGACAACAGCAAAAAAATCATTATTTCCTACGTGTGAGGAAGGATAGTAAGCAAATAATTACCGTTGGTGAAGGCGATGGGACAAACTATCACTTCCGAGGCGATCCGGATGTAGCTATCTTTCCGAAGCGAAGCTGAGGAAAGATAGCGTATACATTCTGATCGACGAGGAAGTAATAGTTTGCCATCGCCTGAAAACCAAAAGGTGATTATTTGCTTTATATTCCACATCTAAAACAATTTAATTACAAAAAGAAAAGGACGTGTATGCATCTACATAAAAGACACCTAGGCCCAAATTAACACACAAAAAAGTTTAAGTTTAACCCAACCCCTTGAGGATACGGTGCGCGCATGTGTTTTCTTTAATTGCGCTCATTGGGAATGCGCGCTTAATTACGCCTGTTTTAGTGCGCGTTTGGATAATCTTTAGTGAAAGTGCATTGCCCTTTGTAGATAGTACCTCTATCTTCAACGAAAGTGCGTTGCACTGTGTAGATAGTAGTACTATCTATCATGTCGGTCCATCTGCACATCGAAATTGGTAGCTAGTAGTAATATATCTACACAGTGTAACGAACTTTTTGCTTCTCCCATCAATAAAGGGCGAACTATCTTTCCTCACGTGATTTACCTTTGACCAATCGTAGAGCAAGATTCTTAGTATATGGGATATAAAATTGAATATCTCATGATCCATATAGTGTTGTATTTTTTCCAGAATAAGTATAGGCAATAAATAATTAGAACAATTAATACTTACAGTTATACTTAGACATGTATACTTCATCACTTGAGGCTCGAAGCGCCTACACAGTAATACTATAACCCTGGCAAATGGCATTAGGTTACTATGGAATATAATCTAGGGTCATATCTGCATTTTCATCGTAAAATAGTATCCTATCAATATATGGTTCAAGAACGAATGGCATGCTTATAAGAAATAGGTATATTTTAATGCAATTAAATAAATAAATTATCTCTATAGTGATATCTGGAATTTATTTAGAAAAAACAATACAGTCATGTCATGATCTGATACAGGCATTCCTGTAACAATTGAATACGAACAGGCGCGTACACAGGAGGGGGGGTTGGGGGTTAACCCCCCCCCTTGGTATTTTTATGTGTGTAAACTCCCCCCCCCCCCATAACCCCCCTAAACCCCCTCTTTGGATTTTTTTTTTAATTATAAAAAAAAAAAAAAAAAAAAATTCCCATGGCTGACCTAAAAAGGTGACCTTACCCCACCCCCCCCCCCCCCCCCCCACCCCCCCCCTCCCAACGGAGCCAAATGTCAAATTTTCAATTTTCGAGAGACAAAAAAAAAAAAAAGGAAAAGTGTCCTCTTACCCCCCGATTTTGTTGTTCTTGATATCAAACACTACTGGAAACCGTTGAAAAGCAGTTGATTGTAATTTTGTGTTGGGTCAAAGCCTATATAATTGACCCGAATATCAAGATAAGTAATAAAGCGCTGATCCGAGTTTAGTTCATTTTCCGGTCGTGTACGGCACTGCCTGCGCGTGCGTAGAAACGAAGTAGACCTACGAATCAAACTAATCCTCTATATACCTCTGTCGATCACGATATTGATTCTTTCGTGAACGATGTTTCTAGCCAGCACGATGTTTTGTTTTGGGGGACAATATTGTCGTTATTTTAAAACTTGGACTCGACGGATTCAAATGAGTGAAATTAGCTCATTGTGAAAATGAGCGCGCATCGATTAGCTTCTCTTAAATGCTTGATGAGAATCAACATTCTTTCATCATTTATATTCACCTGCCATACCTGTGAATAGTGGAGTTGAGCGCGTGGAGTACTTAAGTGTTTTGCGGAATTTCGTTCTCGAGAATTATTGTGGTTATATCATAATTTTCTCATTCAGACTTTATTAAGATAATTTACGATGTTCATCGCTTGACTTGTCTATACTGTCGTCAGCATCGTTGATTCAGCTCTTAGCTCACGCTGTAATCACAATATATATTTTTCGGTACCCGTTTTCTTTAATCAGTTAAGACACTTCTCATTATGGTAGTTATCTGTTTATCATGATGAATTTTTCCAGCTCGGTTCTTCCAGTTACTGTGTGTTTGAACAACGTGAGTATTTATTTGTTTTCTCTTCATTTAGACATTACAGAGAGAATATACATCATTTGCATTATGTGATGTGTTTGTCTTTCGCGAAAATGATTTCAAATTGACGATTTTCTTGTGTTACCAGAGGCTTCGATTTATTGTCTTTCTTCAATAGAATTAATTGGAAAGTATAGTACACGTATTGCCTCCATTTCGAAGATGTCTCGACGCCCCTGTGCTTTACTAACAAACGACTAAAGCGGACATAAATTCTAATGACTGATAAAGTTAGGTTCCAGGAATATAATATTGCAATCATAAACATCCTTCTTGAATGACAACCTTAAGGCCCCTCTAAAGTGTTGGGAGCCCCAGAAATTTTTTGATGGCAAAATTTCACTTAATTATTGTATCATAATGTGAAGGAGGATGTCATTAGTTTAAGACACATATCTGCAATGATTTTCAAAACAAATGTGTTTGAAGTCGAATATTGATAAAAGAATTCAAAATTTAGGTTTTCTTCGTACACTACAACAGAAAACCCAAAGTATGTATTCTTTTATCAATATTTGTCTGCAAACACATTCTTTTAGGAGGAATCTTGTCAGAATTGTGTTTTAAATGGCATCCTCTAGTTATCACATTATGATACAATTTAAGTGAAATTTTGCGATCAAATTTTTGGCGAATTTGGGGCTCCCAACACTTGAGAGGGGCTTTAACTAGATAATTATGATTGTATATTATTGTTCTTTGCGATGGGATTCATATCTCTGGATCAAGTCAAGCCAAGTCAAATCAAAATGTATTCTGTTCTGATGTACATTTCCTACACGCATAACAAGGAACACATAATTGTGATCGTACGAAAGAAGACTGTGCCAGCGCCAAAAAATATATTGATTTTAATCCATCTTTTGTGACACATAATGTGATTATGTGCGAAAGCATAGGGCAACCTGACATTTCACAATTAACGAGTCATTTTGTGGCTCACCAGGCAATTAGGTGATTATTACGAGTAGGCCTCTGAAGATTTCTGCACCTACGCATTGCAGTTAATGGGGTCGATAATTTGCCATTATTCCTCTCAACTTTACCCCGTTTACTATCGATTAAAAAAAATACTATTAAACTTCATCGTAAACCTAATTTGACATTTTGTGATGTTCTAACTTCGATACAAATTCTGATTTTACATCAGGCGCTATCCCCTAAAGTATTCACGAAATGATTACTTCTTTACCACAATATGCTTTATTGCAGATTCCCAGCTGTTTCAAATTTACCGTGACTCGGAAGTAAAACGTGTCACACACATTTTGATAATTGTGGAACAGTAATTTTGAGCGAAGGGACGTGTGAAAGAATCTTAACAGCATGACGGCAACGACTAGTCCCGCAATTTTTCAAACTGACCATTCATTCAATAACAATATGACGACAGTGGACATCAATGATCACGACCTTAAGCCAATCGGACTCGTCTCACCCGATCCCGTAATGGGGACCATTTCCGGAATACTGGTAGTAATGATGGTGCTTGCGAACCTTGTCAATGTGCCTTTCTTCATCAAAGGAGACGGAACGTGCCTCAAACCAGCCACCCTCTACATCATCGGCCTCATGGTTGCTGATCTCGGCATCGCTTTGGTGTGTCAGACGATGATGACGGTGATCGTTTACCTTGGACGATGGCCATTCAGCTACATCAGCTGCAGCATCTACAACTTCTTCCGACTCATCCTAGAGAACACTGGTGTGTGGATCATGGTGTTGATCAGTCTTGATAAACTGCAGCTGCTCTGCTATGACTACCCTCGATACGTCCGCGTCAAGCGAAAACCAAGAATCATCTTCGAGATCATGATGACGTTCTTTACCCCAATGTTGTTCCACCTCGGGGGCATCATCGTGTGGATCCTGACGACGACATCAGAAGAACGAGCCGCTGACCACAGCCCAGATTGCCAGGACATCCCAGCCGAAGTCGATATCCCTTTTGTTGTTCTTGGTGCGACGGTTAATATATTCATTCCTGGTCTCACTATCATGATCATCAATTCTGTAGTGTTTTACAAGATCAAGCAACGGTTGAAGAAGCGAAGCAAGATTGGAAATGGATTAGTGGCTACGGCCCAAAATAACAGAAGGGAGCCGTCTTCTTCACAAGGAACTTCTTCACAATCCTTTTCATATGCAAAAAAAGGGCCTCGGCAGACGAATCCTACTGATACTCGGAATAGGCATGCAACGACGACAATGAATGCCGTCACAATTAACAGCGTCACAGATGTGTCAGCGGCGTCAGCTGCTGCCAGAGGAAACCACAATATCTTGGCGAAGAAGAATTATCTCGACACCGAGTACCGCCGGTATATCCGTCCTGCCGTCACACTGGCCGGTCTCGTTGCCACATTTTCCATTTGCTGGTTTCCTTTGGCCATCTACCATATCTATGTCCACGTGTTTTGTCCATCTTGCTTCGACATTACGACGCAGTTATGGCTCAGATGCTTGATGTATGCCAACAGCGCCCTCAATCCGTTTATTTACATGGCCACCAATCGAAAGATCAGAAAGTTTCACGCAAAAATGTTTCAAAAAGTATTTTCGTCCCGCACTGTGCAATGGGAATGACAAATTGTATGAAATGTACTAGACTTTGACAAAAAGGCGATATAATATTTATTCTGAAGCTTTGACATTCGCACCAAACTATTTATTGTTCTTCTTTCAAGTTTCTTTGACAGTCGGGCAATCCTGGTTACAAATATTCGAGCTGTACCGTAACAGTAACCATGAGCCGTACATTAATTTCCTAAAATACTGGCCAATATTGCATAATCTGGAGTTTTAATATGTCACGAAATTCAGCCTCCGTGGCCCGAATTCCCAAAGGAGGTTTGTGGACAAACCTAGGTTTATGTGCGTCATATAAAGCGTTTCGATGCGTTTCAGACCAAGGTTCAGACAAACCTTGGTCTGAAACGCGTCAAAACGCGTCATATGACGCACATAAACCTAGGTTTGTCGACAAACCTCCTTTGTGAATTCGGGCCCGTGTGACTTCAAAATGACGGCGTACTAAAACAACAGATCATGATTATACAGGGGTGTTGCAATTGGGGGGGGGGGGGGGGGGGGGTCAAACCACACCCGTCTGAAAACGGGGAAATTGTTACCATTATTAAGCACATGATCCACACAACATATTTGTATTCCATCATTATTTCTGTTACATATTAATTTCTCCCTTTCTCTCCGATTCAATTCTGTACAGTTACTCTTGTCACCATAGTAGATGTATTCTTTTAACTTGCACACAGAAATATCAAGACCTTCCTCTTCATACTTTTATGTCACTTGTTTCTCATTGGTCAGAATAGCTTATGTAAACTGAACAGGGACTCCAGAGAAACGTTTAGTACTATTAGCGAACCTTAAATAACATATACTACCCACAATATTTGTTGACATGTGCCACAAGGGAGAAGGCGCTAGGAGAAAATATACAAGTTATTTGATATTTTTGTACAAGACAAACGGGAGAGTAATCACAGTTCAGTGACCAAATTGCCTTTTTGCGATTCGTATAGATATAGTAAACTCATACTTAAACACTGATAACTTTCTTATTATTTGTCCGATTTATTTCAAACTTTCACCATTCCATTTCTCTTATTTGTCAACTTGTAGACAAATACAATTATTACAAGGGTCGGATTGCCCTTCGATTTGTTGTTGTTGTTGTTGTAGGGTTTATCGGCGCTATCCATCGATTCCGATGATTTCCGCCAGGCTGTGTGTGAGGGCGTCTTGCTCTCACTTCTGCTGCTCTACGTTTCTGTGATTCTGATACTTGCCCAGTGTGTGAGATAAAGATTTATCTTGGCCTTTGTTATTGGCGAAGTGCAAGATTGTGGGGGTTAATGTGCTCGTTACTCTTTATTTTTTAGTCATTTAGTGTTAGAGCTGGTTGGAATTAATATCATGAAGTTTCGGTGTCAATTTATAGGGTTAATGATAAATAATGTGTCTTATGTTTAATAGTATGCGCATTTAATAGTCGGCTGCCATCATTTATTCAGGCTTTCGTATGTCCATCATCTCCTCCGTCACTCTGTTACTTTTATTGTAGAAAAAAAAAATCCTGAAAAGCACAAGCATGATAACAACTCAATGCCATAATACACTTCGAGGTAAAATTCATTATTTTATACGCATGTTAGCTTCCCCCGTACCGAGTTCTCATGGCTGAATCTTCGCTGCAACAAAATTACCCCTTGAGTATTTTCTTTCTCCACGCGCTGTCAAATTAAAATCTGTTATCCATCTTGAACAACAAATTATTTTCCAGTAATCATCTGCACTAATAAGTGATAATGTTCATCTACATCCTTATGATAATAATTATCAGCGAGGTTAGCAAGGTGAAATGTATCATTAAGGTTTGCATGATTACGGGAGTTTGGAGTTATTGATCTAACTTTAAAGCCGAGTCAATTGTGATCAGGAGGCGGTCGGGAAATGTCGTTTCCGGTAGAACAGGAGGGGGGGGGGAGCAAATTAATAAGAAGAATATTATATGCACACCTCATTAAAAAAAAACTTATAGCTACTGATGACATGGGATATCTAGACAAGACTATTAATGGTATTTATACCCCAAACAAATCATTCGGAAAACCTCGATCCGGTTTATTGTCAAAGAGGCTATTTGTGCAGGGAATTTTTTTCTTCCGGGGGTAAATGTCCGAGAGTAGTTATTCTATAGGGCGTTTTTATCCACGGGGTAGTTGTCCCAAAATAGACGTGTTGCTATCCTATAATTTCATCAAGGTATGCATGGTCCAGTATTATTGGTCTGGCCCCCTGGGACAACCATCGATACCAGAACCTAGTTTCTACGACCCACATTTTGTCTGTATTACCCCATAACTCCAGGAAGCTCCGACGCCGATGTCCGACGCCTTCGGCATCGGCGTCGGAGCTTCCTGGAGTTATATTACCCCTGGCTGGGGTAGTTGTCCAAAGGGCCTGCGGGGTTTAATTTCTTTTCTAGGGAGTAGTACTTTCCGGGGTATAGATACCCAGTGATGATTGTCATATAATCCTATATTCTACCCAGGATAGTGCTAATGAGAACTTGATGAGATTCAGTAGTATTCCCTCGCATCTATAATTAAATTAAACCATGATTGATGTTTATCAGAATGATGTATATATAGGTTAATAACTCTTTATCTGAAATTTCCTGCTAATATCAACATATTGCTTTTGATGGCAAAAAGGGCCTTCAATATCCGTATGCTTTATACATAACATTGAAGCCAAATAGCCGAGAGTGCAGTAAAACATGCAACATGTAGATTGCTCAATTTACAGACATAAAAAGCGGTCTCAATAGGCAGGTAGACTTTATATACAGGTTCCTGTAGTATCCCCTACACGTTTTAATGACAAATTGTACTCAAGGGCCGAAACATCAAATGTGGTCTTTATAGAAATGTGGTATTTCTATACAGGTGGTCGCTAAAGAAGATCTCAGTTCACTGTATTTCGAAGCTTGGTTTTGAATGTCATGATTAAGTATTTGTATATGTATTTTTCTGCTTGACATCTCTGTTTTCTCTCTTCTTCGTATGTACAGGTTCTTTAGCATTCCCTACACGTTTAAATGACAAACAGTATTCAAGGTAAACAGCAATTGTGGTCTATTTATACAGAGGTACAGTCAAACCTGCTTTAGTGACCACCTGTCTACAAAGACCACCTGTCTACAAAGGCCGCATTTGTTGTTTCCCTTGAAAATGGTTTCTCATTGAATCATGTACTAAAGGAACCTGTCTACAAAGACCACCTGTCTACAAAGGCCACTTTTTGTGTTTCCCTTGGGCGGTCGCTATAGACAGGTTTGACTGTATAATGGTTCACGGTATTTCAAATATTTTTATTACGATTATGTACTTTTATATTCAGGTATGTTTTTGCTTGGTATCTCCGTTTCTCTTTTCTTCTTCTTTTCTCATATGAGTGTAAGTATTTCAAATTAGAATGTACATAATATTTAGGTCTTACCACACAGTCATTGTATTATATGGTCACTCATTATAACTGCTATAAAGTTTGTTTTATTGAATGCGATAATATATTGTTTGTAATGCTAAATTCATGAGGCCTATCATTTGAAGAGAAAATGTTACGGAAAAATATCACAATTTTAAAACAATGCATCTAAATTCCGTAATTAAACATCAACTGTGTATTTTAATAAAAGGTGATAAAACAAAAAATATTATACCATTATTTCAAAAGGATGTGCATGATTTGAATTAGAAAGGTAACAGAGATCAAGTGTGACGTGTTGTCCCACACGCTCCGCTCCCTGGGGAGTAATCCAGCCATGCGCCATTTTATAAGCGCACATGCCAGTCCAAATACACTAACGCTCGCATGCTACTGGGTACCTATTTATGACATCTGGGTGGAGAGTGGCAACTGTAGAATTAAAGGGATAGTTGAGTTCTGTTGCAGAGGGCGCTACACCAAATAATTTTTTTGTGAGATAATGAAAAACTCGAGTCTCAAATTTGAAAGAACATAATATTGAAATGAAAAAATCATCTTTGTTTGATCGAAATCGGTTCAGAGACGGCTGAAATATAACAATTTCCAAATACTTGTGTACGTACCACAAATATTAGATATTTACACAAATTTGAAAAAACCGTTGAAAAAAACGAAATAACGCCTTTTACCTCGTATATCAGCCAATGCCGGTGTTGGCTTTTTTGTTGGGATTTCCGTGTTGTTAATATTACCCACAATAAGCCGGCTCATGTATTGTTATTCTAAAATAAGTAATTAATTAACGGTCACCATGTTTTCTTTTAAACTGGAGCTGAATTGATATGATCATATTGCCTAAATTTCACACATTTTGGGCTCTAAAATTACCTTCATAGCAATTTTAGGTTCTAAAAAGGCACTATAAATGTCATAGATAAGAATCAGAGCAATAACCATGCACTTTGAAGGCATTTGCGATCTGAAAACAGAACTCAACTATCCCTTTAATTAAGGTCTTGCCAAAACACAGTGCCACGGCAGAACTCGAACCGCTAACCATGGGATCAATCAACAATCCAGTGACGTATACGCTATACCACGACACCTTACAATGGCCAAACAACAAACTCGTTATCATTTTGTATAGTTAAGAATGTTATAAAATATTATGTAATAATGCCTCTTTTACTACAACATTCAAGGAATCGCCTAATTAGAGCATAATTATGAACATGATGAACTCATTATTAAACAATAAACACCAGTTTTGAAAATGCTAAATTATATTTATTTCAATGGATTTATCGGTGTTCGTGGGAAACAGTACTTGTTTCAGTTTATGTATCAATGTTCGAAATTTCGAATGCATGAATAGACAAAATATATGTTTTTAATATGTTTTGTATATGTCTATATCCAAGACCCTCAATGCATTTAACAGATAAGAGTTGTTAATAAAGTCCAGTAGTTCGAATACTATATGAGATGGCATGCAACTTAGACCGCAGGAGAAACCGATACTATTTTTGTTGGTAAATACATTTTAGCCCTCCATAGGCTATTTTATTGAGTCGAACAAAACATTTTAAACAAATCAGTGAAATTATGTCTTTCTTTAACTCAAATGAAACAAAATACTTAACATTTCTCTCCTTGTTGTTCATAAAAACAAATGTTGCAGTGACTGCCATTTAGTAAAAAACTTGTTATACATACCAGATATATATAATTTTCTTCTTCAAAGAACTAAAAATGTTGAATTTTGTTATTAAGCTTTTGTACAAATAGCTGATGCGTAATCAAAGCCACCATGCAATTCAAAGCATCGTTTCTTTTGTCTTCAAAACCAAAAATTACAAACCGAAAAACCGATACTAATGATTTGCGTTCGGCTTAACATGTTCAGGAAGGTTTTGTAGATGAAGTAATCTATCTCAAATTTTAGTTACCATCATCGACAAAAAAAACACGAAAATTGTAAACAGAAAATTACACATTTCAAATATAAATGCAAATGCGCAAGATTTATTCTTCTGCTGTTCGTTAGCTTATGCTAAATTCTCATCCATTACTATCATTTTCAGCTCTTTTTTTTAATATCAACTAAAGAGGTCAATGACTCATCTCTACATCTATTTTGTCGAGGCTTCACATTTCGATTTACGTAAATTATTCTCCTAGAAGGATAGGTTCTTCTTGATCCAGTTGAGTACCGGCTCTTAAATAAGAGTATTTTCGTATTTTTTGCTGTACATGTTTTTCAGTGGCACGTGTGTGGCTGCGAAACTGTCCCTAATAGAAGCAGGTTCTTTATAATACAGTTTATTTCAAAGTATTCCATTTTACTATGAAATGTGTATGTTGTAACCGCTTGAATCATATCAAACATATACATCATTATTTAATTCTACCTTTGCACGTTTTCTTAACCTGGTAACACCAATAATAGATCGACTACAAAAGTGTTTTGAATGTAAAACTTCCTGGAAGTAATTTCATTTTTTCTCCTTCAAACTCAAGAATGAAATGTGGAGTGGTTGAATTCGGGCCTTTGGTGAATACTTTCAGATTGAGTGGGAGGGGGAAGGGGAGAAAGAGAGCGCAGAGTAAATACAAGAACCAGGAAGAAAATACGACAATCAGCTACTTTCATTCAATTTAATAATTCTTTTATTTTTGTTAACAAAAGTCATATTGTTGCCACATATTTCGTAGACAGCTCTCCATAATCACATGTTCAGAAGGTTACTTTTAAATATTTCCTTTAAGGTTACTTTTAATCACGAGATATGCCAGTGCTTCTCTCATTTCTCCTTCTCCCACCCCCCCCCCCCCCCCTGCTTCTTCCTCTCTCTCTTTTGCAAAGGCAAAATTTTTACAATTTAATTTCAACAAGGTAAAAACCTGCCTCACATATGCATACATATTTGTTTGGAAGAAAAACTGAAAATATCATGACCACCCCCCCCCCCCTCCCACGATAATCTTCCTTATTGCTTGTCAAAGATTTTTTTTTTTTTGTTAGACGTTTACCTGCCAGTCAAAAGTGACAATGTGAAAAAATGATAATCGTTTTGCCCCCTTTGCTTTTTATCTAGCATGTCAGCAGAACTTTAGACATTTGCCCCCCCCCCCCCTCTCTCGATCGTCGGAGACTCGTAGATCTACAACTTATAGGTATTGACATACAAAAATTACAGTTATACAAGTCACTCCTAGATTCTAATCAAATGATAGGTCAAGTGGTTCATTAACTTTTTAATGAAAAAGCGTGCAATACTATCCAGTACTATTCAACAATTTGAAGTACGTGATGACAAGTGTAGAGGTAAGTGCACTTATCTCTGCATTTGCACTAAAATAAACACTAGCGATGACACAAAACAATCTTGAAATGACTTCTTTTTACATTAAATAACAAGGAATCTAGGAGTTTTGTTGTATGCAATAGATGATGGATGTGTTTTATTCCTTTATTACAGGATCTATCCGCTCCTGTTGAGGCTGTTTACGCACTTATTGTACAAAGCCATCAGGGCTTGTACAATAGATGCATACAGTCTGGACTTGAGTGTGGATAGATCATACAATAAACCCATTCACAAGCATCAATTGTATATGATAGCCAAATAGAAATTTGACCAATTAGACCTGTCTGAAGATAGCACATGGTGCAAATGATCCCAACCACCAAAGGATCTTTTAAAAATGGAGAAGTCACACTTTATACATTTGAGAATATTCACTGTCCAAGTGATCAAGATGGTTCACAAACTTTCGTTTTTCCTCTCAAAAGAAATACTTGCGTTTCTGCATCATAGAATGTAAAATTAGTCTATAAATGAATAATAATAAAATAACTTTTACGAGCATGTATCCAGTATTCGTCTCAATGGGTTTTACAGTTTGTTACCATGACCAGGGGCGTGTTTCACAAAGATCCTAAGTTAAACTTGACTCTAAGTTAGACTTAAACATTATGGAGAGCCATCTGTAGCCGTAAAATAAAATACAGTCAAACCTGCTTTAGTGACCACCTGTCTACAAGGACCACCTGTCTACAAAGACCACATTTTTTGTTTCCCTTGAAAATGGTTTCTTATTGAAACATGCACTTATGGAACCTGTCTACAAAGACCACCTGTCTACAAAGACCACTTTTTGTGTTTCTCTAGGGCGGTCGCTATAGACAGGTTTGACTGTATATTCAAAAGTATTTTATAGTTTTTATAAATTCCACATCAAGAACATAAAATCCCTGTAGGTAATAGAAAATATTAATGATTTGAATCAACATTTCATGCTTTTTAAAATAACTTTTACAAAATATTTTCATAGATACCAACGGCTTTCCATGATTATTAAGTCAAACTTAGAGATAAGTTCAACTTAGGATCTTTGTGAAATGCCCATGACCTGGCAGGCATAACCAAAAACTGGGTGATTGGCAATAAATCGATTCAGCTTGGGACCTACTATGGATTTAAAACTGTAATCTTCTTTGAGAGGGTCTGTTTTGGGAATAAATATTGTCTCATGAAGATGTCCAGTTCTTCCAGGGCTAACTGGGCATGCAGGAGCAGCACCTCATCCTTCTCAACATCCCTCACATGCTTCAGACAGCGGTAGACATCCCGAATCGAAGCATCCAGAACCTAAGAAAGAAGAGGGGATGGAGGTTGGCTTTATCAATAATTTGGTAAACATTTGATTAAGGTAGCAAAACACAATTGAAGTGGTATGAAAGGTGTGTCACGAACGCAAAATGTAGTGGAGTTAAAACCAAGTTAATATCAAAGTGGACTTTCTCATTAATGACATTTTGACCATTTTACATATTTGACTTAACAGATTGTTACACAGTGCACATCAAAGCAGACTGTTTAAATTGTCACCTACTGCAGATAAAGCAAGTAGATCAAAGTAGAGTATATTTAAAAAGGGGGGATTTTTTTGTGTTTTGTTGTTGTAATAATTTGGTTTCGAAAATGTTACAAGTTTGACTGCCAAGACATACATTTTGTAGATTATATCTTATATGTTAATAGTCCTCCAAAGTTTCTACTAGTTCTTAGAGAGACAAATAAACAAAAATATAAATTGTACATGCATGTACACACAGCACTACACATTTCTTGAGCATGTTTCGTAATTTTTATGAAAAAATTGTTTGACTACCACACCCATTTTTAAAAACGGTTTCATGAAATTAACCACTTGTTCCCGGACGTTGTATTGCATATTAATATATATGATTGTAAGAACTCTAAAAAGCAATGATATTAAATCCCTCCCCCATTAAAGAAATATCAGTACATAATATCAGAAAGTTATGACATTCATCAAGTTGACTGACGCACACAGAATATTTTATAAAATCATACTCAAGTTTAAAAAAACAAACTTTTAAATGGATATGTTTTAAAAAAATAATCCTGGAATCCCAGACACTTTCATGAAGTTGATTAGACGCACCCAAAAATTGTATCTAATTATTATTTTCTAGAAGCATTTGTAATAATTTGTTTGTGTGGAATATTAATAAAATTTGGATGCTTCATTAGGAAAATTTGCTTTTGTATCCATTAGTTCTTGGTCTTTTAAAGCGTTATAGAAATGTAATGGATTTTGACCAACATTCTGGGGGGGGGGGGATGATGAAATAGACAATTACAAAGTGCTTACATGTAAATGCAGATATTTAAGCATTACACACTGACGTAAAAGATGGAGTAACAATCTATTATGTAAGGTGACCAAGCTCTACCTTGTCATTTCAACAATCCTTATAAATGATTTCATTCCTTTTAATTTTGTCATTATAATATAGCTTTCCTTCAAATCTTTTTATGTAAACCTCCTTTTTATTGGGTATAATTTTTCTCATTTTCTTTTAATAATAATAATAAGATATTTGTATACCACAAATTGCAAATTGCCTCTAAGCGGTTTAGAAGAAAATGTAACTATTTTCATCCTCACACGGTATTTATCAAGAAAAAGAAATAAAAAGAATAAAAAGAATAAAAAGAATAAGACATTGCATCTCGCAAAAATCCCCATTACTTTTTTATAAGTCAAGTAAATTAGATTATTGCGATGTTGTTTGGAACAATACGAAGAAACAAAATATTCAAAAGATACAAATTTTACAAAATAGATTACTTAAAACAGTAATATGAGTGGAAAATAGATACTAAACTAGACTTTTGTATGAAAAATTGTTTTTGGATACCTTAGTTGAGAGACGTAACAAACATGTTCTATGTATGATACCAAGAATTAAAACGTGCTTCAAAAAGAAAAGTTTAAGTTATTATGGTGCAAAACTATGGAATGAAATGCCGCTAGAAACTAAATATAAACCAACTTACTGTGCTTTCAAAAGGAGTTTATAACATTTGTAATACCATGTTTGACATTTAATGGCAAACAAAACAACTGATTTGTTTCCTTTTATTTTTTTTCTCTGTTCGTTTTCTCTTTCTAAATTAGGGCTTGTTTGGATTTCTCGCCTTCTAACCTATTTGTACATATATATATATATATATTATATATATATATATATATGTGTGTATGTTTGATTAAACTTTGTATGTATGCCATGTTTATCTATAATGTATATTTCTTTGTAAAATTGTGATTGCTTTTATTATGCACGGCTATGCTGAAGAAGAGCCATTGGCTGAAGTATGCCACCGTGCTTAAAATAAAATAAACAAACATCATTTGTATCCAGTTTACAATTGCTCTCTTTCATTCAATAATTTGTGTCATAACTCATATCTCTATCACAAGGTTACTGCAAACTGTATTTAGGGAAAGGTCTTAACCTTTAAATTTCAGTTTCCAATCTTGCTCATACAATAGACAATTGCAATCACAAATAATTACAAATATCAAAACAGGATGAAAGCTATTATTTGGATTGAAAATGGTTTGATTGAAGTAGCACTTGAGTTCTTGAGAATAATTATCAGCCGGAAACTCCAGGCTTCCAAGCTCTTGAAGAAGACTCAAATCTTCTGCCTATTTGAGTAGTTTCTATCAAAAGGTGGATCAGGTAATTAATTTCAACAAACTGAAGGAGAAGGTCGAGTTCTGGGATAGATGTAAAGTATGTTATAAGATTTCTCATTCTTTATTTTACATCATTATATAAATTTGCCCGGAAGATGATTGTTATTCAAATGTCCTGTATTTAAACATGATAAGGAGCTAAACAGTTTGGACCAAACATTCCTGCCGCATGTGGGTGTAGTCCCGTGTACCTACTTCTGTGTCCAGTGCATGTGATTTCACGCTAGACACAAGGCAATTTCTTTTTATTTTGATGCTTCCAAACCTCGCAGTAGACATGATGTCTTATAAACTACATATAAACTACTTAAAAAAACCTTTCCAAGTTGTTTCAAGACAATTCATTTCACAGTTTAATTGGATGACCAGTACTTGACTTTATATTTCAAGTGATACTTCAAGTGATGGCAGTCTGTGACCTCACGTTCGTGAAGCTGTAACAAAGATGCTCAGGTAAAGTGAGTAAGCCATGGTGGAAGGGATCGAGTGGGCTGATTCAATAGATCATTTGACCTGGAAATGTCTTGGTCTACTCAAGGAGTTAGTGGATTAAGTACTGAACAATAAGGTAGATTATGTTATCATCATCATCATCATCATCATCATCATCATCATCATCATCATCACCATCATCATCATCATCATCACTGATCATAATCATTATGATCATTATCGTGATCATCATGTAGTAGTAGTAGCAGTAGTAGTAGTAGTAGTAGTAGTAGTAGTAGTAGTAGTAGTAGTAGTAGTAGGAGTAGTAGTAGTAGTAGCAGTAGTAGTAGTAGTAGTAGAAGTACTGGTATTAGTAGTGGTGGTAGTGGTGATAGTGGTGGTGGTGGTGGTAGTGGTGGTGGTGGTGGTAGTAGTGGTGATGGTGGTGGTAGTGGTGGTAGTAGCAGAAGTAGTAGTAGTGCAGTAGTAGAAGTAGTGGTAGTAGAAATAGCGGTAGTAGAAGTAGTAGAAATAGCAGTAGGATCCAACTCACTTGTATTGCATCTTTTCCCAGACCTCGGAGGAGAAGGTTCATGACCTGGACAGCTGACCTCTTGACCTCTGGCTCAGGGTCGTTCTTGATAGCAGATGTGACACAGTTCAGAACCTTCATTAAAACATTCAGAAAATTAGAACTACCATTGGATGTACTCAATACTTTGTAGGTTTATAATAAGATATAGGATGCAGTGACATTCGACATCTCCCCAACAAATTAAGGACTTGACACACATTTGTAATTTCTAAACAGTACTACCATAAACTTTCGAAAAACAGGATTATTTTCAAAGATGATTTACAATTACAGTGGAACCTCAGTATAGTTATAAAGAGCTTTGATATAACAAGGTATCTGTTATAACAAGGTGATTTTGCTGGTCCCAACTCTTTATATTCTTCTGTTTTTGTACCCTGAAATAACTAGGTAATTTCCTTAGTCCCTCGGACCTGGTTTTAACGAGTTTCCAGCACTGTATTAATTATGTTTCAGTGATCGATGTGAATTCATTTTATTAAGTCGATCAAGTAGATTGATTATATTTATGTTTAGCGCCATCTGGAGGCTACTAAATTCGTGTTAAGAAATGGCACCCTTTTTGGTTTCCAGTGGATGAAATCTATTGATATTGGAGGCATCCTTGTGTAAGATGGAAGTTAGATGCACTTAAGAAGGCAGAATGAAGGTATGTAATGATGATATGTGATGAATGTTGTATATAAATGCAGTAATGATGCGATATTCCATGATAAAGTACCTTTCATTCGCACCTAATTCGTTGTGTACATTACATGGATGTAACTTACATTGCACAGTAGCCGAGACGGTCGGCTCACATACCGAATGTTATTGTTATGTAATGTACACTACGGCATGCGAATGAAAGGTACACGTATGCAAGAATGTAAACAAAGATTTGCCTAGTTTGAGTCAATGTACTAAGATGAGTACTTAGGGTGCATAATATGAGAAAGTTGTTATATGATTTATACAAGTTTATATTGATAATTAATAGATGGCTTAGTTATAAAGATACATGCTGTAATTATGAACAGAAGTGATACAAAGGATGTATGTCAGAAAGCCTGACTTAGTTCAATTAAGCATACATGTACTGGTAGAATTGTATTTAGTTTATATGCAGTACAAGTTAATGTGTGAGATAAGGAAAAGGTTCAAACAAGGGGTTAATTAGCTGTAAGGTGCATATTATTGATACGAGTCACCAGGGTTTCTCTAAGCATAATATGTATATTTATGAACAGTTGATTTATGATCCGTTCGATCTATTTTCATTTGTGCAGTTTTTACGGAGCATTTGGAGCAACAAGAGAATTGGAATAATAAAGAAAGACCAATAAACAAAGTCAAAGATGCTTCCGCTACAGTAAAAACTTCATTTACGTCTAGACGTCTCCACAACAACTGAAAGAGAGCTATCACATCATGGCTGACACTGAAGGTGAAAGTAGACCCCATCGTGAACCCAAGCCCACAGAGAAAGGACTACAATGGCAAGTGGAAATTAAATCCAAAGAGTTTGACAGCTGCATTAAGTCCTGGAATAGAACCGCAAACAAGTTGCGAGTTTTACTTGGTGATGAAAGCGAAGCGTCGACAGTACAGGAGACCAGAGATGCTCTACAAAGTACTGTAGACAAACTGATAAACACCCAAGAAGAGTTGGCTGCACTTAGAGTAACTGCGAAAGTTGAAGACAACAGTGATGACAAGCTAGATGAGGTAGAAACAGCACACAACAACATCATGAAACAGACTCTTGATGTATTGATAGCCCTTAGACCCTCATCTCGAACTTCATCTAAGAAGTCGAAGAAGTCTCTTCCTGTTGAACCGCAGGAGCTACAAGATTGCCAGGACTGGGTGAACGACATCCAGATAAACGACATCCAGGAAGAAGTTGAAGCAGTAAGTCAAGTTAGTCAACCCAAGTTAGACAGTGTGCAGAACGTTCAAGCTGAGACGATGAGATTTCTGGTTGAACAGATGAGGATGACGAGGCTTCCTTTACCAGAACCAGCAATCTTTGCAGGAGATCCATTGACTTACCCAGCATGGAAGCATGCATTTGATGTTCTCATTGAACAAAGCGGTATACAGCCTATGGATCGTTTCTTCTACTTGCAGAAGTACCTCAAAGGCCAGCCCTTGGAACTTGTGAGAGGATATGCGCTCATTGGAGATGAGAGAGCTTATCTAGAAGCACTGGTAGCTCTTAAGCAGAGGTATGGAGATTCTTTCATTATAGCAAATGCTTTCAGAGACAAGCTAGACAGATGGCCTAAGATTTCTTCGAAAGATGCACTTGGTCTAAGAAAGCTAGCTGATTTTCTTCACCAATGTGTCACTGCAATGGATAGGATTGGAAATCTACACCACCTAAACGATGAGAGGGAGAATCAGAAGCTCTTAGCGAAATTGCCAGACTGGCTTGTGGTGAGATGGTCACGTAAGGTCATTGGATGGACAGAGATGAAAGGACAGTTTCCTCCCTTTCAAGAATTTGTGAGGTTCATAGATGAAGAGGCTAAGATAGCATGTTATCCAATCACATCTCTACACCACGTGAAGGATAGGAGATCTGATCAAGGCAAGCCTGTACCAGATGTTAGAACTCTCAACACCAATGTCAGATCTTCCAATTCAGACAACAAGAGACAGAGGGAGAGGAGAAATATTCAACGCTCCTGCTACCTGTGTAGGAAGGATCACCTCCTAGAAGAATGCAGTGAATTTGCATCAAAGGACATGACAGATCGTAAAAGGTACATAAGAGAGAAAGGTCTATGCTATGGATGCTTGAAGGCAGGCCACATGTCCAAGCATTGTAGATGGAGAAGTACCTGTAGTATTTGTCAAGGGCGACATCCATCTTGTCTACATGAAGATAGGAAGAAACCAGAACCAAAGACGGAGACAAATGTAGAAGACAGACCCATGGAAACTCAGACGTCATGGTCTCATGCTTCATTTAGTCAGCAACCTACCGATACTAGTAGATTGACCACCAGGAAGAGCACGATGATAGTTCCTGTTTGGTTATCTCATCCTACCATATCAGATGAACGAATGGTGTATGCATTAATAGACACCCAATCTGACACCACTTTCATGTTAGAGAAAACCAAGGATGAGATGAATCTGCAGGGAGTTCCTGTCAGTCTCCTTCTTTCAACGATGTCTGCTATGGATGAAAGAGTACCAAGTGAACGCATAGAGGGTCTGACCATCCGATCATTTGATGGAGAACAACGGATTGCTCTCCCGACAACCTACACCAGAGGGTTTATACCAGCAAACCATGATCATATACCCACTCCAGAGATGGCAATGAGAATCCCTCACTTATCCAAGATTTCACATCATCTCATGCCCCTGCAAAGTTGTGAAGTTGGTTTATTGATTGGATATGACTGTGCAAGGGCACTCATACAAAGAGATGTCATCCCTCCTGCTGATGATAATGGTCCGTATGGTCTAAGGACGGACCTTGGATGGAGCATCCTGGGTAATGTGAAGGAAGATGAACACAAGTATGCTTATGAGGATGATCCCGTCGGTGTAAGTCATCAATTGACAGCCTGTGAGATTGCTGCTGAGCTAAGGACAGAAAACAAGGATGTGTTGTTCGCTCATAACACATCAGTAGAGGAGGAGATCACCCCTGCAAGAGTGACGAGATTGATGGAAGCTGATTTGCTTGATAGAAAGGATGAAGGAGCAGCACAAGCTGTCAATTCAAGAGAGGTACTGAAGACTGTTGCAGAGGAAGACAGGGTAAAGAATGTCAGAGAGATTAGCCTGCATCATGATGATTTACCTCTAGAGCGAGCTCTTGGTGTACGAGGGTGTGTCAAATCCGATGCATTCAACTTCAGAATCACACTTCAGGACAAGCCCCTAACCAGGCGAGGGATACTTTCCACAGTCATGTCTATTTATGACCCCTTAGGACTGTTGGCATCAGTTATGCTTATAGGGAAGCAGATTCTCCAGACATTGTGTAAGCTGACAGCAGACTGGGATGATCTGCTTCCAGATGTTCTGCGAGAAAGATGGAAGAAATGGAGAATATACATACTGGAACTTCCACCACTCTCTATCCCTAGATGTTACAAGCCTGCTGAATTCGAGGCCGTGAGGTCGGTACAGTATCATCACTTCGCAGATGCAAGTACAACAGGGTATGGTCAATGTGCCTGCATGAGATTAACTGACGCCGCTAATAGAGTACATTGTAAAGACAGGCGTGATAAGAAAGCAAGTGACTACCCAACAACCAAAAGGGGTGTTACTGTGCAGGATCTTCATCTAGCAGAGATTGAAATTCTAAAGCACGATCAGAAGAAAGCCTCTGAAGATGAAATTCAGATCCTGAAATCTATCCAGAAGAACCAGAGTCTGCTTGAAAGAAAGAAAAGGCGTCAAATCAAGAAAGATAGTCATCTAGAGCTTGACTACGATTCATTCATTCAAGCACTTCGTCGTTTCACAGCTCTTCAGGCCAAGAGTGCAGCATCTCATAAAGTTCTGGGGTTCAGGAATCGGTGGAAGAAGGAATGTCTTCAGAACCTGCAAGTCCGACGGAAGTGGACTCACCCACAACGTGAAGCTGAAGTCAGCGACATTGTCATTGTGAAGGACGTGAATGCACCCAGAAACCAGTGGCCACTAGCACGTGTTATCAGAGTCTTTCCATCTGAAGATGGACACATTCGCAAAGTGAAAATCGTTGTGGGGGACTCCAGAGTATGTAATAGCGGTAAGCGTAAGAACCCTCTTCAAGAATTGGAGCGTCCTATCCACAAACTGGTGCTTCTGTTACCGCGTGAAGACCAAGAGGAATTCCCGGCCAAGGAACCCGACATTTGATAATTTCGCGGGGAATCCATTTAGTTATGGTTATTTAAATAGGACCTTAAGATTTCTAGTCAAGACTGGAGTTATTGAAACATTGGGTCTGTGGATAAGACTAATTAATCTACATTATCCCCAGAAACGTTTATTTGAAACAGTCTAGAACGAAGGCTGTTTGCTTCTTCAGGGTCTGCACGTGAGACTATACAAATTCATTTATTACAGACTCTGCTGCCTGAATTGAGACTAATTGAACTGTGAAAATTGCAATTGGACAAATTTTCCATAAAGACATAAAACTTTCATTGTAAACTGCAATGCATTTAAATGTATGCATGTGTTGTTATGTATTTGTCTAATAACCATTTATTTCTTCACAGGTCAGTTCTAGTAATCTCTGAATCGATTTATCATGCTAATCCACTGAAATGTCCATGTTTATGTGATTAAGTGGCTATCACATTCCAAAAAGGGGAATTTATTTTTTTTTTGGCTAAAAATTGCTAAATTCCAGATATTTGTTGGTAGTATAGTGGTTATATTGCATTTATAGCATTTTTCACCATGAAGTGATATTTATTTAAATGTGAACATTTCTACTTTGAAAACATAAGCCATGTTTTTTGTGTTTTCTCATAGCTACTAAGATTCATGCTTACCGGTAAATGTGAAACTAGTAAAATAACATTTCTAGATAAAGCATGAAAACAGTGTTTATCAGTAATTGCATTTGGACTCATATTGAGACGAAAATCTGTTTAAAGAATTTAGAGGTATTTTGTTAAATCCAGTAAGGTAAATAGCACAGTATAGGTTTGGTTCAAGCCAGATACATTTGTTATATAGCTGTTGAAGAAACCTTGTGTATGGACTTATTTAATACAAGTCGAGTCAGTAATGCTGATAGAACGGGTATTTCCCACGTAAATGTGTTTTAAAGCTGATACTATTTGGGGAATTTTTATTTGATGGTTTGAGATAGTGCATCATGTGCCCTATGTGAGTTTTGAAAATTAATCTCAAGACAGAGATATAAATATATAATTTATATTGTTGTCATCGATATTGCAAAGGTTAGACATTTTCATAAAGAGTGCTGAACTACATTCAGTAAATAGGTTAAAAGGGATAGGTAATTCCTTGATAATGTCAATCGATTGTTTAGTAAATTTTATAATAATTTAAAGGAGCCATGTTTCAGTGATCGATGTGAATTCATTTTATTAAGTCGATCAAGTAGATTGATTATATTTATGTTTAGCGCCATCTGGAGGCTACTAAATTCGTGTTAAGAAATGGCACCCTTTTTGGTTTCCAGTGGATGAAATCTATTGATATTGGAGGCATCCTTGTGTAAGATGGAAGTTAGATGCACTTAAGAAGGCAGAATGAAGGTATGTAATGATGATATGTGATGAATGTTGTATATAAATGCAGTAATGATGCGATATTCCATGATAAAGTACCTTTCATTCGCACCTAATTCGTTGTGTACATTACATGGATGTAACTTACATTGCACAGTAGCCGAGACGGTCGGCTCACATACCGAATGTTATTGTTATGTAATGTACACTACGGCATGCGAATGAAAGGTACACGTATGCAAGAATGTAAACAAAGATTTGCCTAGTTTGAGTCAATGTACTAAGATGAGTACTTAGGGTGCATAATATGAGAAAGTTGTTATATGATTTATACAAGTTTATATTGATAATTAATAGATGGCTTAGTTATAAAGATACATGCTGTAATTATGAACAGAAGTGATACAAAGGATGTATGTCAGAAAGCCTGACTTAGTTCAATTAAGCATACATGTACTGGTAGAATTGTATTTAGTTTATATGCAGTACAAGTTAATGTGTGAGATAAGGAAAAGGTTCAAACAAGGGGTTAATTAGCTGTAAGGTGCATATTATTGATACGAGTCACCAGGGTTTCTCTAAGCATAATATGTATATTTATGAACAGTTGATTTATGATCCGTTCGATCTATTTTCATTTGTGCAGTTTTTACGGAGCATTTGGAGCAACAAGAGAATTGGAATAATAAAGAAAGACCAATAAACAAAGTCAAAGATGCTTCCGCTACAAATTATATATATATATATATATGTTTACCATGGCAGAGGCTTGAGAACTTACTACCCTCCCCCCCCCCCCCCAAAAAAAAAGAAGAAAAAAAGATTTTAGGCAAATTTACAGTTTGTGGTCAATGTAGAAATAATTGTCTTTGGATTCCTTTGGAAAGTGTGAAAAATATGTCATGCCCCACATTCTTACACCAAGGTAATAAGCAAGATGAGATATGGTTTCCATAGTGAAGGTATCCCTTCAACAACAAATAAGATAGCGAAATACCTTTACTGCAGCTAAACTTCACAATGATCAAAAGTACAAATTTGAAATCTCTTGCTCACTCTCTTCATTCTCTTGCTTTCACTCATTCATAAACTTCATCTGTCCCTCTATCTATCTCTCTCTCTGTTTCTCTCTCTCTTTCTGTTTCTGTTTCTCTCTCTCTCTCTCCCCCTCCCTCTCTCTCCTCTCCCTCTCTCTCTCTCTCTCATCCCTTGTATACCATGTCATCGTTTTATTTTCTCATTCCCTGTCTCTCTATCAGCCTTTGTTCCTAGAATCTTTTAAGATACAGGGGTAATAGTGAGCACTAAAAAAAAAGCACTTTAAAAATAAAAATAAAAAAATCCCTCAACCAACTACCCACCCCCCCCCCCTTGAGTAAAAAAAAAGATTCAGGAAAAAAAATGGCATCTTAAAACATCCCCCCCCCCCCTTTGAGTAAGAAAATTGGGAAAAAAATTGGGGAAAAAATGGAAAATAGGGGTATAATCGGGAAGAAGAAGAAGAAAAAAATTGGTAATTAATTAATCGGTAATAAATTAATTGAAAGTTCTCGAGAAAATCGGGAAACCGATTTAAATCGGGTAATTATCAGGCCTGAATATAGTAGCCGGCAAGTGAAATATCCAAGGAGTGAACCTTACCTCATGTACAACTGTACCCAGTGAGTACCTGAGGAGCCCACAGACCTCCCCGAGATGCGCTAGACAGCTTGCTCTGATGTGACCGTCTGGGTGTCTAGTGCCCGCCATGATGGTATTCAGCAAGAGATCCCTGAAGTGAGGCACAAGCTCTCCTGTAATCACATGAAACATATATGCTTTATGAAAGGACCCACAATGCTTTGGCCTTGAGGACAAAGTGTCAGGAGCTCCAAATTCCCAAAGAGTTTGATGGCAACATTTCACTTTAATTGTATCATAATGTGAAAGAAGATGACATTTTTAAACACACTTCTGCTAAGATCCCCCCCCCCAATATGTTTGACGACAGATATTGATGAAGGAATACATAATTTGGGTTTTCTGATGTATGCAGAAAACCTAAATTTTGTATTCTTTCATTAATATTGGACTTCAAACACATTTGTTTTGAAAATCCTGGTAGTAATGTGTCTTTAGTTACATTTTCTTTCAACATTATGATACAATTTAAGTGACAATTTTCCATCAAATTTTTGGGGCTCCCAAAGCTTTAGAGGGGCTCTAAAGCCTATGTACAGTTTTGGTAGCAAAAAAGGAACTTGGAAAGAAATGTTTTGATTATAGTCTCAAATTATTCTCCATGCATCAAAAGAATTATGGATGATATCACATGGCATTCTATCCATGACCATGATGAATTTCCTGTGATTTGTAGTGTAATATCTGCAAAGAATGCTAGATAACGGCTACACACTCCCCTACGCTAGGACCCTTCCACCTCGATGGCTCCTGGCAAATTAATCTCAGAGCTTCGTTTGGAGACAGCATTTGTGTAGACAGTCCTCAAAGGTTTTACATACGTGTAGTGCTGGGAGTGTTTCACAAAGACTAAGATCGACTTTAAGTTGGACTTAACTATGACAGGCCGTTCATGCCACTGTTTTCTCTCACCATTTACTGGCATTGGTCTCTCAAGGGACGTACAAATCATGGTCACAAATCTACAGAATTTACATTTTTTGATAGTTCATTATTGAAGGAAAAAATAGTATCTGAAGATCATAATGGTGAGAGCAACCAGTCGCATGAATGGCCTGCCATAGTTAAGTCCACCTTAAAGTCGATCTTAGTCTTTGTGAAACACTTCCCAGGTTGGTGATGTTGGAATTTACATCCCAGAATGAGTATCTGAATTACTTTCAACCTCTCATTTGTTTGATATATAACTTGAGATGGAAAAAAAAACTTCACAGCAGCGTAGTATTGCTATTATCTTGAACTATTTATCATCTAAAATCAAATAAATCTGAATGAAAGTTTTTGAAAACTATACATAATCTTGAAGCAGAGAAAATTCTCTGGAGTCAAACTCACTGATCTAAAAGTGATCTTTCACATTTACCAGTATTACCTATAATATACGTGGCCAAGTTTTATCATTATTTCATACACGTTTAACCTGACATAACCTAAATCTATAATAATGAACCTATAATCCTTGCAATGAAGTCATTACTGCTAGGTTAGGTTATGTATTCAAAGGCCAATCACTTTTTCCACTTTTAAACTTAGTAGAATATGACTACAGTGACAGTTGATACACCATTGATTTTACAAAGGTTACTCTATTACCACCTTCTCTAAAGTAGAGCGACCTTTTGGCTGAATTAAAAAGCAATGAAAGAAACAAAATTCTTGATGTTCCCCAATGGACAAACATTATGGTCTGATTTTACACTTCAGTTTCTTTAAAAAAAATCAATGGCCAATATCTGTTTACATTTCATGCAGGAAATGTTAACATTATTTAGATATGAATTTTCTTTTCAAAATTCTCGCTTACCAAGTTGTCTAGTTGCTCTGACCAAAGCTTCCCCCATTTTGAGAGTCTTCTCCAGGGATACTGTCCGGCTAGTTGCTGACCACTGTTTGCTCTGATCCGTTGCATAGCCACTGATGGACATACTGCAGAGATGAGGCATGACCCTGTCTGGATGAATGCCTGCCAAAGCTACTAGCCCATTGATACAAGGCAGGTAGATGTAGGTGTCATCATCAGAGAGGTGTTCCTCAAAGATCTTCAGTAAGGTCTCGCTCTCAGCAAGGGCTCTTGGGTCTTTCTCCTTCAGGAGTCGGGCCAGCATGATGAGGGCGTGGCCTCGTACGGGGAGGAGAGGGTCGGTGAGGTCCTTCATGGCTTCCTCAAAGGCTTCACTCGCTGGCTTCACTTGTTGCCTACCGTTGTCCTCATCTGACCTTCCTTGCTGAAGGACCAAATCCTCAATATGATTCATCTGAATTTGAGAATCACTGCTAGATAGGCCTGGAATTTCTTCAACAGTTTCACTATCTGAAGTTGTTTTATGCTTTGAACTTTCCAAATCACTGCTGTCTATATCATGTGATGTACTATGTTCTGATTGACCTCTAACTTCATTATTAGTTTCATTATCATCTACTTGTCTTGAGGTTTCTGGTCTATTTGACACATTTCCACATGTTCTCAAAGGATCATTTCTCAAGGACTCTGCATCTTGATTTTGATGGGAGGATCTTTCACGAAGATTCTGGTTGGGCACAGCCACGTGGTGCCCTGTCGCCCATAACTTATCTTCAGTGCTTGAGCCATGTAAGAGAGACTCGCTCACATCGTCACTTGTTGCAGAGACATCCCTCTTCATGCTGTTCACCTCTTCACCACTTTGTGCACCTCTCCCCATTGCCACAGCAGATTCAACGCAGCTCTGAGCTTTGGGTCGACCTAACTCTCCCTTGGTGATGCCTTTGGTTGCACTGCCCCCAACGTCAACATTCAATCGCTCATTCCTCTTTCCAGTCGTCCTCCTATCCTGCCCTGCATGGTGGATGGAGGCTGATGACACAGCACCATGGGTTGCTATGGCAATGGTGAGGTCATCTGCTAGTTTCTGGATGGGCTCCAACGAGTGCAACTTGGAAATGGTCATCAGAAGTGGGAGAATGTCCTGTAGGATTTGTTTATCAGTTGGTCCCAATTTTTTCTGTTACAAATAAAATGCAATCATAGTAATGAATAAAACTAAATACAATCTAATAATTTTTTTGAGTGGTCAAGTGTGAACAAAAATTGTGTTTTAAACATTTTGCTATGCATATCATATAAACACTTTTCCTCTCTTTTTTTCATTTTCCCATCTTTTCTTTTCCTTCCTTGTCCTTGTCCTATTTAGATGATAAAATTCTAACTCATTTCATATTGACCCATCCTGTGCCAACTACAAAAAGTTAATTCTTTAAAAGTGAAATCTTAGATTGGTTGAATTGGACACAAAAACTAGTTTAATACATCGGAACTAACTCGTCTTAGACAAAATATGCCCATAGAATTGGTTACTGGTTATAGAACAGAATTGGTGATTGGAATTCAGAAAAGATTGTGCTACAAGTCAGATATAACTAATTCTACCCCACATTTGAACAATAGATTCTGCCGTTACCTTCTGTTCTCCCGTGATCAAAGCCGAGAGTAGAGCCACAGCCAGGGTCAGGGTCTCCGTCTCCAGGACACCAGCAGGGATGTCTGTGCCATCCTCTCCCTCCCGCTGCAGCCGATCCACGCACCTCTGGAGAGCGGCTTGACAGAACTGGAGCAGATGGTGAGTGTCCTTGAGGACATCGGGTCCAAAGGCCTCACAGAGCTGCTCAAGAACAGCCAGGACCTGGAGGGTATTTCACAAAGATCCTAAGTTGAACTTATCTTTAAGTTGGAGTTAACAACTATGGAAATCTGTTAACATCATAAATAAATATAAATAAAATATTTTGTAAAAGTTATTTCAAAAGGCATAAAATGTTTATTTATATTTTCTATTATCAAGGAGATTTCATGTTCTTGATGTGGAATTTATGAAAAGTCTAAAATACTTCAATTTTTGCTTTTGGAAATGTTTAATTTTAAGGCTACAAATGGCTCTCCATAATTTTTAAGTCCAGCTTAGAGTTAAGTTCCTTTTACGACCTTTGTGTAACACCCCCCCAGGAGTGGAGGATATGCATGATACAGAAAGAAAATTTGATATTTAGGTCTCTATAAAACTTTTCCCAAAGGTACACAGACAAATGACAGTTGTGTTTTCTCCCATAACAATTGATAACATTTACTAAACAAACTTACACAAACTTCAAACAAGTCTGTTTAAAACTGTTCTCATGGTTTTTCAATTTATCAAGGCATCCATATAAATCAATTTTATATGTGACCTCTTCATCCTTCAATATTTATACTTATATTATATCCTTCAAAGTTTGTTACTCAAGGCTCAAGTCTCCTTGAGAAAAGTTTGCTTTAAAAGGGTTCTGATGGTTCTCAAGTTACTTAGGAAATAAAAGACAGGGGCACACAGATAGACAGACAAACAATCCCAAAACATAATAATTCCATCCACATAATTATGACAGATGCAGAAAAGGTTTGAAGCCTGTTACTGACCCTCAGAGCATGCTGTACGGTGTCGATCCTATCAACCTGTGAAGGTGGTTCTAAGTCTAGAAGTTCTCTGCTATGAACCGAACCGGCACTAGGGGGAGCCCTGTCTTGTTCAGCTACAAAACCTGATGAGTCCAGTGATGCCACTGTCGCTGTCATCTCCTGCAAGACACAGCATTGTGAGATATGTCAAACTCATGAATTGTTGTACCCCATCATTTTATTATTGTTACCATTTCTGTAAAGTCACATGGATTGGAAAAGAAGACCTTCGGGTTACAGTTATTTAGTTAATCTTTTCTTTTTTCAAATGTACTCTTGTTTTGTATTCAATGGTTTTCTTTGTTTTTGCCAAATAAATAATAATAATAATAATAATAATGAAAAAACTACTCACAGAAATGAACAGAGAAAAAATGCTGGTAATTTAAAGTCGTATATTGCTTAATAGTGCTAACATAAATAACAATCCCTAAAATGAAGCAATTGTGTAATGTACAAAGTCAACTCATACTCATAAACCAATATGGTCACCTTGAAAAATAAATATGATAACTTAATTTGCTACTCTTAAGGCTTGGTGACATCAACATCATATTTCACATTATCACCTAGCTCTATAAAGGCTATTAATTTAGTTTCATTTACCCTTTCGAAATTTGAGTTTCCCCCTTTCTCCAATCCTACATGCTCAACAATATGTCGAGGATTCAGTGACACAAAGATGTAACTCCATATTTTGCCAAAATGAGTATTTGATATCAAAATGTTCAGAAAAATGTGGGCTTTCCAGGAAACACAAAGACTTGACTCCACCCAACACCCCACTGAAGTCAATGGCTAGTGAAACATAGACTTAAATCCTTAAGGCCCAAGTGCTCAGTGACACATAAACCACTTTTTCTCAGAATGACCAAAATGGAGTTACATCTGTGTGTCGCTGACCCCTCGATATGTTTACCACATTACAGCTATCAACTTCGTATTCTATCATTGCATGACCATGATGTATAGGTGATACTCACATTGAGTACAGCGATAAAGAAGTCAGCAGACAGCTTCTCCTGTGAAACCTTTAGTAATAGTGCGGTACAGCAGCTTCCAATGTGTTCATGTCTCATCAGGTTCTGTGTGAACAGTTCCTCCGGACTGCAATCAATCAATCAATCAAAGGGACCAAAGAAATGCCAGTTTGAATACAAAAGATGCAACAGTGCAGTACTGGGGATGATACATTATTGCAGAATGGCCTGTACCCCAACTGCATTGCATGCTTGATAAAATAAGCAACATTGGGTATGCAAATGAACTTTATTTTACATGCATGGCATGTGAATGAGGGTACGAAATACTGCAAATAAAAATAATTTACCTCACAAATGAATTAAAAACCCAAAATGCTTCTTACAGGAACCTTTTAATAATGGGCTATTCAAGTCACCTGCTCTCCATGATAGTATTTGTATGCATAGAATACACCTTGCATACATCACATGTTATGCTATGTTGGGCAAGCAGCTGGCAAGCTCTCATCAGGGGCCCGTTTCACAAAACTTTTCATAAGTGACAAATGACAGTCTTTGTTATAAGTTACTGAAATCCTTGCTTCTGATTGGTCATCAGCAGATTTGTCACTGTTTTTTGTCATTTGTTATCGAAAAAAGGCTTTGCGAAACGCCCCCCTGACCACCTTTGTTGAAGAAAAGTTGCATAAAATGTGATTATATTGGTAAACTGTGTATTCAGGCTTTATGAACATGTCATTTAAATGTTGCAAATCAATTTTGTGGGGTGCAAACACAGATTAAGAATATCCTTTTATTGGGGCGTTTTGAATAAACATTACAATGACTGACCCATGAAGGCCTAATATCATTTAATATTTACTTGAGAGTTCATTTTTGATGATTCATAAAAATAAATTGGTGGTAGAGAAGGGGTTAACTACCTGGCATCTCCTTGATACACCATGGTTGCACCACCACTTGAACCAGGTGTGAAGGTGACCTTCTCATCCATCCTGCCATACTGAGGATTCGTCCTGATGGCTGAGATGTGTTCCATGGCAGTGAGGGCTGTACTATGATCAGAGGTACGGAGGTATGCACAAAGGATCTCCTCTACTGAGGTTCTGAGAAGGAGAGAAGGTATCAATTTTAAAATGCTATTTTTTTCATTACCAATCTCTCGAAAGTGTAATCATTAATTACAAGAACCTCTTTGGTGATAGCTAGCTGACATTCGCTTTGGCGACCATTGCTCTGGGGTCTATTTTGTCAAAGATATAGGATTGGGTTAAAATTAGTTCAGTTTGAATAGTGTAGACATTGAGGGCAAATCAATTATCATCAGAACATGTATCATTCAATCACCTCAATATCTGAATGGATCAAGAATTTTTACAATTATTTATGCATCCTCTGTCAAATAATGCATTTTTTCTGTCATTCAATGGAAGGGACAATTATCATGACATAGCCTACTTACTATTAAAGATGGTTTACTTAATAATATGTGATGGACACGCAAAGGTTGGAATATGCTCTGTGAAAGAGAGGTATCTTCAAAAGCACTTGGTCGATGCCAAGGCATATAGAAGTCTACTGTCCAAGCTCTGATTTCAGTCCCCCAAATGGCTAACTTTATTACCTACTTCAAATAAAAGAGGTGCACAACTGTACATACATTTAGAAATGTTGATCCAAATAAAAATATTCTGTACAAAGTGTAAACATGAAACAGGAAACTGCTTCACAATCAAATGTATTTTTCTTCAAGCCACATTTGGAAACAGGCAAAAAAGGTTTGGATAACTGCATCACGAGTCTGGCAAAATACAAAGACTGCTTACTTCTTCTAATGACTCAGTCACACCTTATTCCTATTTGTTGATATCAAGAAAAGAATTCATGATATCAAGAAATGATTTTCTGTTGTAAAGCAATGGTAATTCTTCATTTCAAGAAATAGGAATAAATGTTTAAATGGCTTGCCATAAATATGCAGCAATACGCAAGCCAAACACGCAAAGACTGCTTTCTTTGTCTAAGATAGGACCAGTCTTACCGGAGATTGCAGACTCCTTCCATGGAGAAGCAGTAGAGAGAGAAGAGCTGAGGAAGGATGGGTGTAAGACATGAAAGGAGAAGGGAGCTGGGTTCTCTTCCTATGATGAATACTCTATGGATGCCACTGATGCACTGCGAAAGTTCAGATTCACAGGCCAGTACTCGTTGACTGTTACCTGGGTGTAGAAGGAGTCCAAGAACTTTCAAATAAAAATCTGATGATGACATGCCTTAATCACTTCATATATACTAAATTTTGTTATTACAGCCATTTTCAGTCACTATTATAAAGTGCAAGATTTGTTTCTTTCCTGATGGATGTATGTAATCATGAAGTTGCCAAAACTCAAAGTCATTTTAGCATGGATGAGACCCTAAAATGTTCACATCAGAATTATGCAGTTTTGGGATAGGAAGAATATCTTTACTTTATCTTAACATATTATATCCACAACTTTCAAAGATGCAAGATAGAACACTAGTAGAGTCCTCTTCTCCTTCACTCTTGGTTGATAAAATCCCTCCTAAAGTCTTCATTTTTTTCATTTTCTTTTAAAAATCGTTTCACAGTAGTTATCAATTTCAATCATCAAAATACAGAAGGCATAATAATATCATTAATTTATGGAATATATGTTAGAGTTTAAAAGAAGCTGAAGTTATCTACATTAGAACCCAAGTCCCCAACTTTGCATCTTAATTAGCTACTGCAAAAAAAAAAAAAAATTACAACAAGGACAATGCTTTTGACTCTACCGAGAATTATATTTTAAAATCATTCCGCTCATTGATTTTGTTTTACCTTGGACGTCTTTGTCAGCTATGAGGGCTTTGAAGAGCGGGTCTAGGATGTACTGCTTAGCTATCATCCTCTCATTGGTTACTATGGCAACCACAGAGCTACTGATGACCCGGACGATCTGCCCCATCATGATATCATCCCCAGAATGAAGTACATCTAGCATCTGAAAAAAAGAAGGAAAAAACTAAAAACATTATTATTATGCAAACAACAGGCAACTAAATAAGAAGAGATTCCAGTTTAACCCTTGCATTCAAACCATGACCCTGTTTCATAAAAATTGTTATCAATTACAAATGCTAATTTCTATGACAAGTTTGCTCTCAGCCAATCAAATGCCACAATTTCAGTAGCTTATAACAGTTATTGTAACTTGATATTGATAACAATTTTTATGAAACAGGGCCGAGGAAGGTAAAAAAAATACATAAACATCACACTTGTATTTTAAATCGCATATACACCCGCTGCATTTCATGCCCTTTAAGACTAATGATTAGGTCTTCCTGCATATTAAAGAGTAGACATTAAAAGAGGCATATCAAGGAAGTCAGAAACCATCTATATTTTTAAACTAGTGTTGTGGAGACTGAGCCCTAAGAAGTAGGCCTTAAAGCCTGTCTGTACTAGTCAGTTTGGCCACAGGGATTAGACCTCCCTGCAAGGTCACTGACAGGTGGTTATCTCATCAAATCAGCTCTCATTTAACATAAGAAAAAGGGGATCATGGGGACCAACAGGCACCGATTAGGTATTGTTTGCTATATAGAGGGCGCAAGTAGCTATAAGTAGTTCAGTGGGGCTTTAAATTGTACTACAGAGCGAGCCTCCTTCCAAGACTGTTTGAAAGAGCTGTTCACACCATGACGAACGCTCTCAACGTACCTGATGACAGATGCTTTTATAGTACACCTCCTTTGGTACAGCCGAGGAAGGGGGCGTGGCTAACAGATTTGCTATGGCATCACATCTAGCCCAGGAGCCAGATGGTGTATCTGTATGCATGGCAAGATGGAAATATCATTAAGAATGCCTTTTCATCTAATCAAAATAACTTTTAAATTTTAAATCCATTCCACATTAGTACCCAGATGAGGAATAGATTTTGAAATTGAATATTCAATCCAGATTTCAGTTCATACTCACATTGGATGCTGATGGCGTCCTATATTTGAGGAGGTGTGAACAAAATAAAATTTTGGTCAAAATATGCCCCACAGCCTGGCAGAAGAATATAACTTAAAATAATCTCCAATCTCATTCTAGTACTATGGATCTGTTATTTAAATGAAGACTTATCCATCACATCATACCTGCCAACATTTGAAAATAAAAATTAGGAATTTTTAGCACGGTATGCCTTCAAAAATAAGAAATCGCATTTGCAGCGGCAGTGTATTCTGGCAATACGTGGTAAATCTGTACCAAAAATCGAATCCGAATTCGCTGCTTGATCATGCAGCCATTCAATGCATGCAATACGTGAACTCTCAAATCGCGGCACATGATAAAATAAGCTTAATTTGACTTAGGGACACACACACAAAAAAAAAGGCATGTCATATCCGTGGTTATGAAAGCCGTGGTTATGAAAGTCAAATTTTGTGTCTATCAGTATCTAATGAACTTAATAATTTAGAATATAGATGTTTATTTATAATATAATTATTATATAGAGACAAACATAAGTTTTTGCTAATCAGTGATACTACATCTAAAAGTGAATGATGGTAATACCCTACATGAATGTCATAACATACCTCCATCCTCTATGATACCCTGTAGAAAATGGGCCACTCCTTTATCAGTCACAATCCTTTCAGCCAGCAGGCTCCCACACACCTTCCTCAACCATGGCGGTGCCTTGGGGAGAGGGGTTTGACCTTTCACCCCTGACCCCATCCCACCCTGGAGAATGAGAAGCTCCTTGATGACAGAGGGCTGGTAGCAGTGAAGGGTGAGGTGCTCAAGTTGGGCCTTGGCAAAGTGGATGTCAGAGGGAGGCAGGACTGTGGCATGAAGACGGGTGTATAGAAACTTATTTTGAAAAATATTTCATATTCCACTATGATTGATTAGAGTTTCTTCTTGTTGATCAAAACATTGTTATGAACTAAGAGTTGTGACTTGTAAAGGTAGCCATAAGTAATTCTTTAATTACAACTGAATAAGAGTAAAATAACTTTGATTACATTTACATGTAGTACAAAGTCAACTAAAAGTTTTAGAGAGTCCTTTGCGCCATTATCTGATTATCTAAAACACCTTTGATGTTGTACAGCAATTTTGGCAAAGATCTACACGGATAGATTTTGATAGCAGTCTTGAAACTTTAAATTGCACCATCATCAGAAGCCTGGGCAGACAATTTATATTAGATAGGGGTTCAAGATAAAGAGGAGAAAAACTGGTTCATCAGATTTCCAGAATTTTAGACAAGCCTATCAAGAACAATTAAAAGGTGATCATTTTTACAATTTGCAGGCAAATCAAGAAAAGAAGAAGAAGAAAAAAGGAAGAAGAAAGAAAGAAAAACATTGTGAGAGATAGTTCATACTGTTACCCTAGCAATTCCTTGACCATCATTTATGGCTATTTACCTGGTGCTCCTTCAGCTGGACTAACAAGAGTTCCATCTGGTTTCCTGATCTTAATTGTCTTCTTAATCTCCAGGGTGCACACTACCTGAATCAATGATGCCAACACATCAATCAGGTTCTTAGATAGGATAAATCCACCCAGGACAGGTTGCTTGATGCAGTCAGCGAGACCTCGTAGTATCAGCATCAACCTTCTCTGGCGCTCCCTGAATGGAAGAGGCTTGTTCGATGGGATGAAGGAAGCAGCCAACTGGGATCTGACATTGAGTGGAAGCCCTACTCCTTTCAGTAGGGCTGGGCAGATTCCAAGAGAAGTGATGAACTGAGTGAGAGCAGATAGAGCCGCCTGTTGGTTAAAACTTAGGATGTCTGGTGATGCGGCAGGTGCCATGTTTGGTGTCAGAGGCTTCTTAGAAGTTCCCTCGATTCTCTTCTTGTCATCCTCGTATGTCAGCATGGCATCGTGGAAGCAGGATCTCAGACTCTCAAGCATGGCCAGGCAATGCTCCACGTAGGCCCACTTCTTGTCGCTGGCTTGAAGGCCAAGCATAGACCTCAGGGACACCTGCTTATCTCCCAAGATGGCTGCAGGGTTCTTGAAGACTGTGCTTCCATCAAGAGCTTGGTGGAGAGCCTCCATGGAGTTGGTGAGAGAGGTTTCCAGAAGATCTCCGACGGGCCCATCCTGCTGTGCTGATTTGATAATAAAAGCACAAACACAATAACATAATGAATTATGAACATTAAGAATAATTATGCCAACTTTTAATTATAAAGTTTTTTGTACAAGAATAGCTACACATACTTACATGTAGCTGCAAAACAGAGTAATAATCTAACAACATACACAGGTACACTATACAACGGTAAGTAATTGTACAATATATTTTTCTCAATCAAAATTACAACAATAGTGTTTAGTGTAAAAAGGAGCGCGCAAAGAGTTTGCTAGATTCAGCAAACTCCATTTATGGGCCTTCGTACACTTAACTAATTGCTGTTATCAGTCTCAGCATGAAAGTCAACATGAACAAGATTTTCACATACAACGGCTGTATTTGCAGCCGATTCAACATCGCTAACTCTCGCCAGAGGTCAGCGTTTTTGTAATGTAAATTGTATGTTAGTTCATTATCATCCGAAACACGTGGAAGGTAAGTAAATCTCTTGATAATCAGACACCGTCTGATTATCAAGATATCAGTATTTTTCCTAAAAACGAAGACATTATAATATAATATACTTTCTCACACATTTCATGGCAAACTGCTGCACAAATACAATGCAATTACATACCGTACCGGCGAAGGAGTGCAGGGCGCGCGTGAAGTAATCGACTGTAACTTCACGCACGCGAGCCCGCCAGCAATGGTATTGCATATACATGCCAACATTTGAAAATCAGAAATCTGTACAAATTATGCTATTTTAAAAAAAAGAGGAACAATCCTAACTCTCCTATTCAATACTACAGACAAATTTGTACAGGAAGAGGAACACCTGCATTAAAATGATAATTATCTTCTCCCAAAAAGAGGAATGTTCCTCTTTAATCTGAACAGTTGGCATGTAAGTATGGTATTGTAATTGTGCAGCGGTTTGCCGTGAAACCTGTGAGAAAGTGTATTATAATGACTTGGTTATCAGGAAAAATACTCCAAAAGAGATAAGAAAATTGACTTGAAACAGGTGAGAAACATAACGACTTTTGTCTTTTATAAGTTTTAAATCATTACCATGATTACCAAGTAGATCTAGACTCTAGGTCTATTTGAATAATTGATGAAGATTTAGTTGGTTTTTGGTATGTTTTAGTAGGCTATGTCCACGCCGGAGTTACGGGTCAAAAATGAATACGAAAGAAAGTACACTAGCGCCACCGTTACGTTAGTGTAACTCGCGACTCGTGAATAAATTCTCTCGAGTGAACACACCACTTTGAACACATGGGACTGTGATAACAAATATTCATAATTTTTTCTTCATAAGTTCATTAAAATCAAGAATTTTGAATACATTTTCTTAAGAAAGTACATTGTATTAGGCGTTATTTTGATAAAATTTTGAAAAACATACCTGAAGGTTCAGTAGACGGCGATGTCAGGATTTTAATCCCTTTGAATAAATCCTGTATGACTATGAGACACTGATCATGCTGATGTGCGTCCATGGGGGCTGCCATGTTGAAAATATTTATTTCTAACAAAGAGATTCGATCATACACAGTATGTCCTCCGTAGGAGGACTAGAGGGCCAACTAAAATCGTGACCTTTGACATTTCATAGGTTTTGCATTGGATGCATTATGGGGGTTTTGTCCGATTTGAACGACGGTTTTGGAGGGTCAATGAATATTCATGAGCAATGACGTAAAAAATACGCCAACTACTGTTTGTCGATTGGCCATCGACAAAATGTTTTATGTATTAGGTCATGCATAAAACATTTTTTGCATTCCCAGAATTCCCTACGATTTGAGCACGAAAATGGCGGTTGTATGAACTGCAACTTTCAAGTTATTCAATTACGAACAATGAAACATTTTTCTTTAAAGTGAATTTCTATTATAATAGAAGTTTGTCAAGTACATCTCAGTGAAGCAGAAAATCTTCAGGCGAACACTGGCATCGAAGTGATACCCTATGATATCAAGAAAAGTAAGTAAAGATCCATTTTGTGTGAAGGTCTCTGAAATGATTGTGATGTGTTCGTCATTGCAGTGAGCGGCTCTCCGCATTGTCACAACGTATTACCCGGTTAACCCCCAACCCCATCCTCTTTTCTTTCTTCTGACCAAAGAATATTAACTGATTGAATGAACTCTAATTTAAGTCATCGACGGTAGTATTTTCAGAAACAATCAGGAGTTTACCGTAGGTTATTTCATTAGAGCACATCTCATAATTTTAAGTTCAGTTCATAGCTTGATTACCGATAGTAATCGGTCGTAGATGTGGACCTGTTGGAGACTGCGCAAATGGCTCATTGCTAGTCCAAGCCGATGAGATCTCGTCGAGCGGAATATGATTTTCAATCCGCCGGGGCTAGCCGGCTGTAACACCAAGAAGCGACTGCGTTTCCTGAGCTGGCGCGGCTATGACTTTACAGTGTGTTACTGTTAGTGTTACAGTAAAGCCTAGATCTAGACTAGTATTCATAGCATATTCTAGCCTGAATTTTCTGTCTCTTTCGTTCGTTAGCCTCTGATTTGGGTAGGGTCGGCTCCTCTCTTTAGCCGACCCTACCCAAATCAGAGGCTAACGAATGAAAGAGACAGAAAAATTCGGGCTAAGCAGGCCTAGATCTAGCAGTTGCACTGTCTTAAGTAGATCTAGAAGTCTATAGAAGTCTAGACCTAAACAGCATTTAACCCCGCATCTAGTATAGATCTAGGCCTAGATCTAGGGCTAGATTCTAGGCCTAATGTACTCTAACAAAAAAGACTAAATAAATGCCTGATGTAGACTTCCTCTAGATCTAGATCTAGGTGGATCAATGTGGAAGTTATGGGGGGGGGGGGTGCACAATCATTCTGTGCCCCCTTTTTAAGATGTGGCATAGCCATAGGGACGGGTCTAGATCTAGATCTAATAGCTTGTAGCAAAGACTTCCAAAGCCATGGGTCTAGGCTCGTTTTTGATCCACTAGACTAGTCGTGCACATGTGTCATTGTGATCCAGGTCCAGATTCAGCTTAGGCCGATGAAAGTTGATCTCATGGTTCTCGTCAGCGCCCGCATCAAATTTTGCTCGCGCATCAAAAAAGTTCAACACTCATCGCCGACGAAATTCCCGCGTCAAAAAGTCCAGATATGAAATTGCCGCCTCAAAAAATCAACAATATTTTCGATTGGCTGCCAGTATAATAAAACAGGGCCTTAAGTTTAAGTCAGAAACGAGACAGTATAAATGAAAATGAAATGAAATGAAGATGGTGTCACAGAAACCCAAATATCACAGAAAATTTGGAAGAAATAGTCATTGGAGTATGATATTGGTGTAAGAGCGTTACATGTACCGGTATAATGTACAAGACTCGATACCCTCGACAAGTTCTATTGGTTTGTATATGAAAGATGAATTTGGATCAAAATCCCTCATTCAAATTCTAAATATGCCCGCGAGAACATGAAATCAAAGTCAGATGAAAGATGAAAGTTGATCTAAATCCCTCATCAAAATCTCAACAATGCCTGACGAGAACCATGAGATCAACTTTCATCGGCCTTAGTTTGAATGTAGATCTAGGCTAGATCTACCAACAACAACAAAAACAAAACAAAAAGGGGGTCTCCCCCCCCCCCCCTCCTCCCCACCTCCCACTTCCCCTGATTTCGCTCTTAGTTATGTCATTGTGCCTTGTTTGAAATAATTAGTTTATTTTCAGGATTTTATGCCACTCCTTAGTTTTATGTTGGTGAGAATTCTGGATCCAACCCTACATATGACATGGATATTTCTTTCTCTAAAGGACATGAACAAAGTTATACACTGATAACTAATGCATGCATTTGATATTAGCAGGAACCTTACTAAGTTTCTGTTTTCTTTTAATTGTAGATGCTATGGAACAAAGAAGCAGATAATGATCACAGAAGTGCAACAAAGAGCACCAGGACCTTATCAACAAATGTATCTAATCAGGAACAGGACACCTAAGACCTAAGTTGAACTTTGGCAAGGTATGTTTGTATGAAGTTCGAAAATATTCAGGCTGTATAATCTAAGCCCGTGCGAACACCACACTCGACTTGGACTATATACAAAGATTTGGGGAACTGTCATCTTGTGTTGCATTATATCTTGTAATTCTCATTTATTCTCTAGCTTTTTATTTAGGTCACAAACTATGGTGTTGCTACAGTTTATTCTCTCAGCATATTAAAAGATGTACTCAAAGGTACTTCTCCTAAATATTACATTATATCTAACAAACTTTTGTTCACAAAAGTCTAGCCAATAATAACTTAAAATAAATTGGAAATTACTTTTAAAATAATTGGAAATACATTTAAACCTTTACTCTTCTCTTCAAAAAAGCCCTATCAGATAGACATAAGTTTATCATTTTTTAATAAAATTAAAATGCAAGACCTAAAAAAAGTGGGGAGGTACTATTTTTGAAAATCCAATATAATGCAGCAGTTTTAATCTTATTTGATTTCTCCTCTCTTTTTGTTTTTTATTATGCAGGTTGTCCCATGCAGAAGGTTTGATTCCCAGGCTTCTTTTGGACAAGTCGCTTGTCTACCCTCATCTTGAGAACTGTTCCAGTGTCTGGGATCCCTACAACATCTCAGATGTCCAGGACGCTACTTCACAATGGGGACCACAAGAGAACCAGCAGTTTGACTGAGATGATCAGCACCTTTTAGTTGCCTACTATATTTACAACTACAAGGCACTCTGCAAGAAGACTGGGAATGGTGCACAAGATAGTCAATGGTCTCTCCGCTCTCCCTTGAAAATCTCCCCACTGCACTACTTATTATAGCTACTTGCGCCCTCTATATAGCAAACAATGCCTAATCGGTGCCTACTGGTCCCCCATGATCCTCTTTTTCTTATATTAATTGAGAGCTGATTTGATGAGATAACCACCTGTCAGTGACCTTGCAGGGTGGTCTAATCCCCCTGGCCAAACTAGTACAGACGGGCTTTAACAAATCAGGAGCAGGAAGTACCATGACATGACCCTCCAGTTGCACCAAGCCAGAAGCGACATAGACAAGTTTGTATTTGCCCAACACTCTGTCCCAAAGTTAATGGAACTGACTTCCAGCAAATATAGTGCATGCTGACAGTTCAGCTGCCAGGGACTACTTCTGAGGCATCTACTCTCCTTATCCCACTTAAAAGGAAAGTCCACCCCCAAAATAAGTTTGTTTCGATAGAGGCAGAATAATAAGAAAATCAGGTGAGTGAAAGTTTGAGCAAATTCTGAATAAAAATAAGAAAGTTATGAATTATTGAAGTTGTGATCAATCAAATACAAATTGGCAACTCTGTGACTTATTATACGAGCTCTCCTTCATTTGCTTTATGCATAATATTCCATAAAATCATGTTTTCTTCGTTATTGATGACGGAATATATATTTGTTCCTTGCAGGGAGAGTATAGAAACATATTTGCAATTATTATATTTAGGGTGCATGTATGGTTGAAATTTTTCTTGAGGGAAAATGAAAATTTTAGATTTTTTTAGTACTGAGCAAATGGAAATTGAGCTCGCATGATACGTCATAGAGTTGCTAATTTGTGTTTGATTGATCACAACTTCAAAAATCCTAACTTCATTATTTTTAATCGGAATTTGCTCAAACTTTCACTGACTTGTTTCTCTCATTTTTCTACTCCCATTAAAACTAACTTAATTTCAGGGTGGACTTCCCCTTTAAAAACAGTCTGTCTTCCTCACACCACTTGTAATCTTTAGTATTAGTTCATCTTCGTGATAGGCTACAACACCTTTTGAAGATTACTAGAAGAATAAGAAGAAAATATATCGAGGATCATGAAAGTAATCATATCTTCTTTTAAATGCGTGTACATGTAATATAGTTTTTTGATATTTAATCTTAAGTCAAGTTCTGACAAAAATATTAGGGATGCTGAACTGGATAGTAAATTGAAGGGGGGGGGTATAAAATGATGTAGTTCAATAGTAATACTGTAGTAATATAATTATACACTGTCGCTCATAAAGTTGGAATATTTTTGTTTTACCCCAATTTATGGAATTATTTTAAAAATAATTTAAAAATAATAGATCTAGATAATAGTATACATTCTCAGATCTTATTTTTAAATTATTTATAAAATAATTCCATAAATTGGGGTAAAACAAAAATATTCCAACTAATAGTAACAATAATGATAATGATCATGATAATAGTAGTGATAATAATGATAATACAGGTAGTAGTAAAAACAACAACAATAATGTCCAATGTAAGATAAAGTACTCATAAAACTCAGTATATACCTGTTCTTTACATAATAAAATAGCATGTTGATATTATTGAATATTTTTTTCAAAATCTACATTAAACTTTTACAACTGAAAAATTTGAATTCAAGAGACAGCCCCCCCCCCCCCCCCCCCCCATCCATTTGCCCTCCTTTTGTTGATTTCATGTTGGATTTAAAAAGATATTTATAGAAACAAAATATGTTCATAAATGAGTTCATAAATGTTAATAAATTAGTTGATACTGCTTAATTCTGTTCTTTTCATTTTCTTATTTTGTGAAATATATGTGATTATGATGATGTAGGCACTCTGTAATGATAATGCCGTATGACTGAGGTGAGATGGGGTCTGATGCAGTATTGTGTAGAATTGAGTATGGTGTTCGACCTTTTAATGTTTGTTTATATCTGGTATCAGCGAGATAGATTTAACCATCTTTCCTAATGAGAGAAAGCGGAAATGTAACAAGAGAGTGGGCAAGACTAATGTATAAATACAGTATAAAAAATGGTTTACAATAAAGATGAGGGGGGGGGGGTTAAATAAAGAATGAGTCAATGCCAAAATGATGAAAGCATAGGTAATTGGGGTGTGGATGGGGGAGGGAGGTTAATAGAGCCTATGGAAATGTCAATATTGGAAGGGGTCCCTGTATTGAACATGTTACTGTTGGGGGGGGGGGCAAATTTCCAAAAAATCGGTGGCGACGAATGCAAAAATTTAAATTTCATTGGGGATGGGGCACAATTTGAAGAACATTGAAGTCGAGGTAAGAATGATTCATTATTTGGACACTAAAAATATAAATATATCACTTGTTAAGTCGGCTAAATGATCAGTGCAGTTTTTCTGATTTAAAAAATATTTAAGTTAATAAACAAACCAAAAAAGAGGTAAAAAATGAATTGAGGTACCACAGTGAAATGGGGTCATTATTTTTGCCTTTTAACTGAACTGAATTTTTCAAAAATGTACTTTCCATCCTGGTGACAGTGAAGTTTGTGGCCCCAACTAAGTCAAACATTTAAAAGTTTATTACCCCCCCCCCCCCCCCCCAACACACACACCTCCACAACACACACACCTCCACAACTCTGCATGACCTTTGTTCTACATTTATCCGGCCCAATTAAGGATTATGTCGATATAGTAACGCATGCGCATTGTCTTTTTTTCATGCGTTAATATGCTAATAAGTGGAAAAGAGCTCATGAATATTCCAAATTTTAATTTAAATACTTTGCGCGCTACGCGCAGTCCAAAATCCCCATTTCGCTGGTGCACTAAAACTTTGTCGTCTTCATAGGCTAATACATGAAAAGTGGAAGCAGTGTGCACTTTTGACCCTCCAAAATTTCCCCATGGCTAGACGGATGCAGAAGCGGAGTTGAACCCCCCTGATTTCTAATATAAAGTTGGCCCTCTACGATGCCAAAACAAGATGTGGAAACTTTTTCTTTCTTTCCGAGGAGGGCGAGGTGATGGTAGTCTTCTTTCCTCGATCCACCTCATCCGCCTTCTTCTTCTTCTAGTTCTTCCTCCTCTTCTTTTCTTTGCCTTTTATTCCTTACTCGAAGGTTTGTTCTCCCTGTACGTTTCTTGAATTAAAAATATAAATCAATGAGGTATCCGCCCCCCCCCCCCCCGAAAAAATAAACTGTTTTACAAAGTTTAGGCAATCTTTTATGTTTTCTCAGAACACCCCCCCCCCCCCCTCTCTGTCTATCTCTCTCTCCCTCTCCACTCTTTTTTTTTTTACTAAATCCCTTTCATTAGGCACTTAGCCCCAACATTTGTAGACCTACTAGAGCTTTCCAACAACAAAAATGAGTAACTTAATACTACAGGTCTATAGGCATGCAGTGTATTAAATAGTGACTCGGTAACATTGTTGAAGGTTGATGAAAAAAATTGCCTAATTTTTGTATAAAATGTTACTTACTATATTTCTTCTACTGTACCAACCCTCTGACATGCAAAAAAATCCTGAAAAAATTCTCAAACCACGAAGATATGGTTTTCTTTGAAGGCGTCAACCTATGACACCCTCCAACAGTGATTAGATTCTCCCAACCATTTTTGAATTTTCCCAACCGTTTTTCCATGAAAAGACATAAAACAGGCTATAAAAATCTGTCAACACTTAAATGTCTGGAATGGAATGTAGAGCCATTTTATTGCTTTATGACGATTTACATTCACCTAAAATGAAATTAAATTGTAATAATATAGTTGGGAGAATTAAGGAATCGATCAGATCAGTTTTTCCTAATTTGTACCATGAATAAGTCTGTTTTCACTCAAATTTTCAGATTATCTTTAATTGTACATCTAGCATTGAAGTCACCACCTTAGCACCACTATCTCTCATCTGAACAATGTTACCAAGTATCCCTATTAACCTTTCCAAACTTTCTTCATTATCCTTCATCCATTATATCATTGCAATTATGAATTTGTGACCAACTCGAAAAAAAGAAAGTGAAAATAGTATAGTTTTGTAAAAAAGAACTTTGGACTTGTAATAACTTATAGTAGGTAAAATTGCTTTACCATACTTTCGATATGTATCCATATGCTGCATTTTAATTTATCTAAATTCTCATTTATTTTTTTCTCTCTTTCTATCTTGATTCTACTGTTATTTTTTGTTTATAAACCAATGGAAACAGAAAGAAGTAAAAAAAAAAAAAAAATCAACTTATACATACTTTATAACACAATTCAAACACATATATTATGTACATACAAAAAAAACATATATAGATATATATTAATTTTTTAGATTTATTTATGTTTTGGAACATGATGTCTTGGGATCAATACATTTAATGGAATAATAATAATATCATTATATTTTCTTGTAAAGCACATATCATAATATAATTCAACTGTCTTTATGCGCTTCAAAACAACTTTGAATATTATATCTCCAATTAAACTCAAGCAACTGAAGTGCTCAGTACATTTGAGGAATATATCCTGACGGGGGAACACTTACTAGACCTGGGTCGAATAGTGTGGCAAATGTAGATTGATGTCTTGCCAAATGACATCACGTTAGGAAAGTAAACCTTGTGACCTACAGTCCAGTGACATATCCACTAGACCATAGCACCTCCGGATGTGCAAATAACATTCTATTCCAGTTACAAACAAGAACAAACACCAAAGATAATGAAAGAAAAATAATGATATATGGAAGCCCTGTATGGAATGGAAGTTCTGTATGACTGAAAACTCTTTGTCAATATTACATATCGCCAAGGCTCTATATATATATATATATATATATACATATATTATTGTGATGTATCATTGGTTCTACAACCCATTGGTCCTATCACAAAATAATGGTCAAATGTCTGAGCAGTTCTAAATACAATGAATTGGTCCTATAGACGATTGGTCTTATCATTCATTAGGATACAGGGCAAGGTCTATCGAGAGGTAGGACCAATGGTATAAGTAGGACCATAGAGGTGCCCCTGACGCAATATTTTCTGTTGGTTCCCATTGATCTGACAAAATATTCATCTAACCTCGGAATATCCGCAATACTAAACCTACCCTTGTTTATCCCTACCTCTTAACCTAAACCTTACAATCCAACTGGGAAATAAAACCAATGGAACAAAAAAAAAATGCCCCAATCCTCCCAACCCCCTCCCTCCCCCCCCCCCCCCCCCCCAAAAAAAAAAAAAATCCTCCAGGTCCTATGATCCCCTGGTCCAATGGTACATAGGGCCATAGAGATGCCCAGTTGTGAAAGTCTATTGCAGGTATCCGTCTCATTCTCCTTCGAAATCTATAAGGGTGTGGAACGGGTCGGTGAGTTTCTCCTTTCCTTTGAGGTCTGTCAGTTCGATGATGACCAGACACTCCAGTACTTTCGCTTCCATGTTCTTCACCAGCTGGCAGGCAGCCATCATGGTGCCTGCATAGACGGAGGAAAATATCAAAAGGGAAAGGAAGAGTAAAGATGGTGAAAAATCAAAATGGTAAAACAATATTTGGACACAATTATACTCAAGGAATATCTTCTGCTGCACAAATCACTTCCTAAATCAACATTGGTATTGCAGAGATGCCGACCTTCATCAACAAAAAAAAAGTATTCTGAAGAGGAAAAAACAGTATTTTTGAAAAAAATCTCTCAACTTAACATATCGCCTAATAGAGCAGCTTAAAAAAAAAAAGCGGTACTACGTAAACGTACCCGGATCGGAGTGCCACATGCATACCGTACACGTGGGAAGTTTGCAACGTGCGCAGTTTGGGGCCCCGTATCACCGTCCTGCGAGCATTGTTCGAAGACATAGGTGGATAATACACAAAGCCCATGATCAAAAATTAAGAAACTCATCAATTTAAAAAATAAAAATTAAATTAAAAAAACATAACAAAACATACAAAAAAGGTACTGCCGTATTCACAGCAAAAAAACGAACAAATACGGCAAAAACAGAACAGTTGTCATCTCTGGTATTGGTGTACCATGGTCCACGGATGGTTGGAGGTCATTTTTATCCCTCTAGCAGTCATGGTCAACGGTGGTTTTCCACTAGTGCTCAAAGTACATATTGTTTTGCTATTGGGCAAACACTGTTGGTAGAGGGCGCATATGATCCATGTATTGTGGCAGTAGGTAAATACTTAGTATCATCACACAGACATCTTCTGTGGCCAATGATAGCCCTAGATCATTCTGATAAAATCACATATTACTTGTTCATCAATTTTGCCTCTTTGGGATTTAAAAAAGAATGACCTTGTCACAAGCAGCTTTGAGTAGTAAAAGACAACCAGTCCCAACATATCCTTAGCAAAATAGCAACCACAATTGTGGTGTAGCTCTCGTCCCTTTTTTCCCTTGGATAATTAAGCACCCTCAAGAAAAAAATGTGGGATCAAACTTACCTCCTGTTGCTATGAGATCGTCAACAATAAGGATCTTCTGGCCAGCCGTGATAGCGCCCTTCTGCATCTCAAATACATCCTTCAAAAAGGAAAGAAGGAAGATTAAAGAGAGTGGTAAGGACCCAGTACATGAGGGAGATATAATCGAGGTGAAGAAAGAGAGATTGGATAGAAAGATAGTGTGTAAGGGGAAGGCGGGGGGGGGGGGGGGGGGGGGGGGGGGGGGGGGGGGGGAGAGAATGAGATAATTAGGACGGAAAAAGGACGGTTTCTGTTTCTTATAAAGCCTCTACCAGTTACAAAGTAACCGACCAAAGCACTACAGTATTATTAACCCGTTCACTGGATTCTGTTACAATTCTGCCATTTACAGTGCACACTCTCCACTCCCTTGGCGAGCATTCTAGTCAGTTGCCCAATTGCAGCCAGACACATGCTAATCCAACCACTTTGATGTTTGCATCTTATAGGGTACCCATTTAGCACATGGGTGGAGAGGAGCAATGTAGATAAAAATGCCTTGCTCAAGGATGTTGGGGATGGAACCCACGACCTTTGCATTCACAGTCGAGTGATTAGACCCCTCAACTATGACACCTCTACTACTACTGCTGCTACTGCATGGTAGTTTCCCCAGGAATACATTTGATTTGTTTTCCTTCTATACCATACATTTACTTATTCACACATCGAGGGATCGGTGACACAAAGACGTAACTCCATTTTGGCCATTTTGAGAAAAAAGTGGTTTATGTGTCACTGAGTACTTGGGCCGTAAGGAGTAAATCTGTGTTTCACTAGCCTTTGCCTTCAATGGGATGTTGGGTGGAGTTAAGTGTTTGTGTTTCCTGGAAAACCCACATTTTTCTGAACATTTTGAAATCAAATACTCATTTTGGCAAAATATGGAGTTACGTCTTTGTGTCACCGAACCCTCAAAATATAAAAAACATGATTACACATATAAATTTGTATGTACATGCAATATGGTATCTGTAGTCAGAATAGCAACCATACTTATATTCTAGTACTGTATAATCAAAACAAGAATAATGACAGACATCTGTTGCTAGAGGTCATATTACCATACAAATAGCCTTCTCAAGGTCATTCAATGTTATACAAATATTGTATGCTCTGGCATTTAATATTACAAAATATATGAATCAGACAAATATCAGAATTCCCAAATGATGTTATATTTCACTGAGGCCACATGCCAAAGTTAACATATAATAGCACAAGGGGAATTCTAAATTTAGAAGTGAGTCTGTATATTGAACAACAAAATGCATGCATTATTTGGTATATAAAATTGAGGGTATTTGTGATCCTTTGGATTCAGGCCCTCTTGATTACATTCAGGTTGCTCCCACGTCAGATGCGAACAGCTAAGACAATGCAAACAGTGTGTACGTGCTGGAAAGAGAGGCGTGCAGTCTCGTTCACTTTTGTACGCATTTTACCATGCAAAAAAGGTTGATATATTGCATGCCGCCTTGCACGTAACAAAATGTTGAGAGTCACCTGAAAGCTCCGCAGCCAATAGGATGCTCTCTAAACAAATACCCCATTTTATATAATTGCATGTTGTGTCAGCTTCAATCAGCGATATTTGGTATTGAATAAAAGGTCTACTGTTTTGTTGGTCTAATATAATATGTTCTCATCGTAGCACTATAATTTCATCCGGTAATTTCATGACAATATTAGATCTATTTACAAGAGTGGCTCATAAAGTACAGGTAAGATAAAACTGAGTAGTTAGCAATTCATTTATGATTTTACAAGTGAGAAAAAAAGCTTGGCATTACAATTCTGTGCCCATCAGAATATCACACACATCTTTACTCTGATAAACTTTGTAAGTTTTAAAATATATTTGTTTTGGCACAAAGACAACTAGCATTTGTAGCAAATTCATAGAGTAAATAAACAGTACAATAAACAATCAACTTCTTGTTTAGTACTGTACTAAACTTACTGTGCCGTACTCCAGTGTATAGGACACCTGGATACATTCACCAGGTAGCTTGCCTTTCTTGCGGATTGGTGCAAAACCACATCCTAGTCTCAGCGCCAACATAGGACCAAACAGAAAGCCCCTCGCTTCAAGACCTGTTACAAGAGAATAAAAAAAGAGGATATTGCCACATTAAGCAAATTCTACATTCCTAGGAAATTCTAAATGGCTTTAGTGTTTTATGTTCAGTTGATTATGGTTGTTTATGAATGATTATTTGGAACATAGGAATGATAAATATATATCATGAAGTCTTCAAATTATATTTTCAAAGAGATCTCAAAATTGCAAAAATTGATATTTGTTGAAAATAACAATTTCAGGTATGAGACACAGACTTGGGGGTATGAAACTATTGTCTAATCAAATCATGACTACCTGTATGTCTACTGTAGTCCTATTTGAAATATGAATGCATTCCCAGGGAAATACCTCTTATACTTCACTACTAATATGTTGTACTGAATGAAAATTAACAAAAAAGAAAGAGAATGTCATTTGAAACTTTCACTACAGAAGATAAAAAGTTTATGCAAAACACATTTACAGGAGACTGTAAATTGCGTTGATTTAAAGACGCATAGAAGCGCGCGCTCATGGGAAATTTGACACTGTTCAGGTGTTTACCCAATAACAGGTGTTGCCAATCACCAGGATAAGCCTTATGTAATGCTTTGCTTTTTCCTCACCCGAAGACTCTCCAAGAGACTAGGGGGTATTTCTTGATAGAACTCTGGGTTTGCTGTGTGCAGACTTGTATTTCTACCAAGCCTGGTGGCAGCAAATTGTGGCCTTCTGCACATGGAAACCGACGACCCACCCACTTTAAAAATTCTGACATGACTCCATATTCCGTACAATACAAACATGAGGATTCAGTTGAATCAAGATGATTGGTTGACACTCAAACAAAGTATAACGTCATATTTTTTAAAGACTTGTGTGATTCTGTCACTGAATGGAAAATTATGCTATATATGCCCTATGATACTTGAACTTGAGTACAATTAAGTGGTTTGTTTGTCGATTTTAAATCCATGAACAAACCACTTCTCACTGAGCATTTTTGTGAAATGAGGATTTTTACTTGCGAGAACTTTGGGCGAGCATTGGATAACCCAAGCTATAACATACATGATGCTCAGATTCATGTACATAAAATTTAAAAGTAAAAAAGAGGAACTATGATTGAAATGAAACTGCTATTTATCAATACTTTTCGGTTGATAAATCTAGTTTAATAGTCCCAGATATAAAAAACAACTATTTTTTTTAATCTTTCAAACATTGTACGTGCTTGGGTTTTGTCTTACCTACAACAACATCAACTTTATCTTTGAAGTTTTGTTGAACATGATGTACAAGAAGATCAAGCAGGTCACTCAGAATGCTTGGATCCCGAAATAGAGGAAAGATGTCTCTGAAAATACACAAAAATTCAGAAACAGTCAGAAAGAAAAGTAAAAGTGGGAGAAATATCTCAAAGGGGGCACTGGTGAGATGGGATACATGCCATGGGCAGCACTTGAGTACCCTAAAAAAAAAAACGAGAGAGAAGTGGGAAAAGGGGAAGAACATATCTGGAATGTTTATGATTTGCATGAATATATCTATTCTTTATATACTTTAATGTTTGATTCAACCAACTTGCCTCAAACTTTTTATAGTGGATAAGAGAGGTCTACAGTGACAGTGTCGTGTACTGCATACCATGTCTATACATGTATCTGTAGGTACATCAAAAGATTTATTTTACATGTATATAAAAAAATATGTATATCTACATCTTCACAGATTCACATGATCAATGCTTATTGTCTTGTGTGGGAAAAGGATTAGAAGTAGATTACCAATTACCAAACAGACAATTGGACAGGAAAACTGATCATTTTTCAGATTAACCATAGGAAGGAGGGGGTAATCGACCAGCTTCAGTTTTCGGCCGATTGGTTGGATGCATGGTAAAATCCCTTTAAAATACATCGCATAATAGCATATCACATATCCCACACATACCATACCATGCCAGAGTCACTGAAGAACCACATTTGCAATGAAAAATATATCCTAAAATATCACATTTTAGAGATGTAATCGGCGGTCCCGCTACCCGAATCTAAAAAATTGAGTATCTTACGCGTGTCTGTAAGAAATCTGGGTACCATAAAATGAGCTTTATTTCAAATATTTTTCAGATTAAGAGCCCAATTTTGTGCTAGTCGCAAGCTCAAAAGTATCTCACCTCATGTATTAAATCAATGCAGCCGGACACCGCAACGCACACACGATATCTCTGTCTAATTCAGATTCCAATTTCCGATCACTGCAGTACTAGTTTTCGGCCTGGCGAGCTCCGGGGAGCTCCGGCGTGGGATACCTGCTCCGCCCGCTAGTACTATAGATCAGCGCGGAAACGCACGGCGCGCACGCGTGCTTCTTGTTGACTTTGTACATGCAGCCGAAAACTGGTTCGCTATGCCGATAACCGACTCCGAAACCGTGAAAATTGACATGAATATTGTCATGGCAATTCGTGATTTTTTTCTGGAATTCTTTTTTTGTTTAAATAATAATAATATTTGCTTCATGATTTGAACAAGAAATGATAATAAATAGGAAGTCAAAGGGTCCAAAAAATAGGATTTTGTCTTAAGTGGCCGAAAACCCCCTCCTTTACTCTAGATCTCTATAGCAGATTTAAGTGGACCGAAGTAGCCATCTGGCCTGGTATGGAAAATTCTTTAATAAATTGGACATTTATGTAGATGAGCTGAGACCGAGAGACTCACTGATGACTGAACTCGAGCCTCAAATCAAGACAGTTTAAACTTTTACTTTAAGTTTTGATGACCCTATATTTTGGCTATAATTTCTTTGTAGACCATTTAGACCTAGGTCTAGTGCCTTTTTAGTGGTAATAAAATATATAATGTAGGTCTAGACCTATTATTAGATCTAGTAACGAATACGTATACCGGCTGTAGCGTTTACTTTCCACTTTACTCTCCAAAATGGAGTCTTCCAAGCTACCCAAGGTAAAGAAAGGGATTTCCCCCTCCGTCCCGCGGTCGGCCGCCTCCTCCTCCTGCGAATCTGTGCCGCATAAAAAAATAACCCTGGCCGCGTTATTTTTTTATGCGGCACAGATTGGGGCATGGTGCGTGTTGAGCCTATGGGAAGTACGTTCTTTCCCTTCTGAACAGTGTCTGCACGTACGTGAGACTAGGCATGTTCGCTAGCGCATAGAGTGGTGAAGTGTGACGTCATCAAAAATATATTTTTAGAATTTCTCAATTTTGTCTTCATATTCCGAAAGAACACCCAAAATAATGTCCACATGTCGAAAACCAATTGAGTTATGACCATCTGAATGAATATATGTCCTATGGGAACTCAGTGTTATATGCTCTGGCTCCTAACCATTAGGAGCCAGAGCATAACACTGAGTTCCTATGGGGAGTATATTTATTCAGATGGTCATATCTCAGCCAATATTTAACATTTTCATTTGGTTTTCGACATGTGGACATTATTTTGGGTGTTCTTTCAGAATATGAAGACAAAATTGAGAAATTCTAAAAATAGATTTTTATGACATCACAGCTTCGGTACTCTATTAGCGCTGCGAAGAAGTTTGAATATCCATCGCGAACTATGTGTTTAGATAACATTCCTCTTTGTTTAATTAAGTTTTATTGACTAATTATTGTGATGTTCGGCAATATCGTGAAATAGGCCCCGCAACTTACCCGTCTTGTAATCGATTACAAATCATCTTAGACTTCTAACTTCAGTCTTCAGCCAACATTTTCATGGCGGACAGCAATAAAAGGGATATAAAAGTGAGTTAAAAAGGGGGTTGAAAGGGACTTATTTTTAAAATAAAAATTAGGAGGAGGGGGGGGGGGGGGGGCCCCCCAAAAAAGAAAATTAAAAAAGGAAAAATATTTAACTAAAAGATAAATTTAAAGAGAGGGGGCGCGGGGGGGGGGGGGGGGGGGGCCCCCCAAAAAAAAAAAAAAATTAAAATAAAAGATAAATTTAAAGAGAGGGAGCCAAAATATTAAAAAGGAAAAATATTTAAAAAAAGGAAAATTATACAAAAAAGTAAAAATATTAAAATAGGGTCTAAAAGATGAATTTAATCATTTAAATATAACCCTTTTTAATAATTTGCTAGCTTTATTCAGTAAACCTCAAAACACCCCCTAAATTATACTTCGGTGAAAGAAGCCCCACAACCGTGCTGTCCGTTTTGAAAATGCATTGGAGGGACCTTGTTCACGAGTATATAGTATAGTCGTGATACAGGCCCCATGTCCGTGTTGTAGAACATGCAACGCTGTTGCGCGGGGCCTATATCACGAGTTAAATAGGAGACTCGTATAGTATACTCGTGATACAGGCCCCGCGGCTGTGTTGAAGTGCGCGCGATGCCGTAGTGCGGGGCCTCGATAACGAGTATATGTGATACAGGCCGCTGCTGTGTTGAAGTGCGCGCGATGCCGTTGCGCGGGGCCTCGATCACAAAGTATATATAGTGAGTTGGCTGAAGTTAGAAGTCTAGACTCTAGTATAAAATTATAATTGATTCAAAACAGTTGCGGGCCGGGCCTAGACTATATCACGAGTAGACTATGCCTGATGTTCTCCTTATTGACGTGCTGCCTCCTCTTCAGATTTCCAATTGCATTTTAATTGTTGATGTAATGATTTTCCATACGGTAGTGGATTACATTTAACACTATTAAAAATAGACCTCTAGGCCTACTACTAGTACGCACACGACCACTATTAGTCTGTAAATCAAGACCCCTTTTTAAAAAAAGCCCCAATCTGTGCCGCATAAAAAAAATAACGCATGCGGGCCAGGGCAAGCAGGAGCTGGACGTCTGCGGGCGCGGGCGCGGGGCCGGCAGAAGATCATTCATGTACCGTACCACTACGGTACTGGTCGGATTTATTACTCACCTGAATAAAATTCCTGGTTTCGGGAAATCCGGAATCGTCCGATTGCATTCTTTACACGTACTCTCTTCTCTTCGTCAGAAGACATTGCTAATTTGTTGTATCAAATCACAATTGATGACTTCGGAATTCGACCGTAAACATGCACTACACATGGACTCCTGGCCTGGCTGAGGGTACGGTACCAACGTAAAACGGATGATGTTGAAACTTAATGATGTTTTAACAGTTAACATGTACAGTGCCCAACGGGTGAAGCTTTCTCTCACACACCTAATCGGAGATGAAGGTAGCCCATCCAATGTGTAAAAATTGCCAATTTGATAAGGTAAGGATCGCATTGTACACATACAACCGCTATACTACACACACGCAATATATTCTTTGGTATTGTATCCGTCAGGCATGATCAGTGCAACGATGGCTGGCTACCAATTAAAATAGGCATGGTGGTCGGATATAATGAGAGTAGATCATGGAGGGGGGGGGGGGGGGGGGGGTTAAAGCGCAGTACTTAGGGGCAAATCAAAGAATTATACTAAGACCTCACCTCATGTATGTTAGAAATTAAAAGTTATTATCTTCTTTGAATTGCAATATACCCCCGCACCATTATTATAAGTCATGCATGAATGTTATTGTCATAATGTTATATATTTGAAAGGTGGTACACGATTCAAGCTCTATTTGCTTATGTTTCATCACCTTTGTGTGTTCTTTCTTCAAACTGTATATTAGTTGCAACGTGTCTATGAAAATCATTGTTATATTCTTTTTCATGTGAAGTCTATTCAAATGGATTGTAAATTGAAATGATTTGTTATATTCTTTTTATATCATTTTTCATGTGATGTTAACTTCAATGGATTGTGAAATTGTGAACATGCATGCATGCATAAATAAATAAATAAATAATTAAATAAATAAATATGCTTCTCTGGGAAAAGGGGCATTGACTCAATAAATACCAAATCACAGAAACTCTTCACCATTATGTCACCGTCATGTACATATTTTCTATGGATATATTTTTTAAATCTCAACTCTTTACCACATCAGCGTCTTGTACATTGTCGATGGATAAAGTGGAATATTATTCTTCACACCCTACGCTAACTTTTCACCACCCTACCGTCATGTGCATTATCTATGGATAAGCTGGAATATTAACTCTTCACCACCCTACGCTAACTTTTCACACCCTAGCGCCATGTACATTGTCTATGGATAAGCTGGAATATTAACTCTTCACCACCCTACGCTAACTTTTCACCACCCTAGCGCCATGTACATTGTCTATGGATAAATGGTAATATATCTCTTCACCACCCTACGCTATCTTTTCACCGCCCTAGCGTCATGTACATTATCTATGGATAAACTGGAATATTAATTTTTCACACCCTATGCTAACTTTTCACCACCCTAGCGTCATGTACATTGTCTGTGGATAAAGTGGAATATTAATTTTTCACCACCCTACGCTAACTTTTCACCACCCTAGCGTCATGTACATTGTCTATGGATAAAGTGGAATATTAACTCTTCACCACCCTACGCTAACTTTTCACCACCCTAGCGTCATGTACATTGTCTATGGATAAAGTGGAATATTAACTCTTCACCACCCTACGCTATCTTTTCACCACCCTAGCGTCATGTACATTGTCTATGGATAAATGGTAATATTAATTTTTCACCACCCTACGCTAACTTTTCACCACCCTATAGCGCAATGTACATTGTCTATGGATAAACTGGAATAATTATTAACTCTTCACCACCCTACGCTAACTTTTCACCACCCTACAGCGCAATGTACATTATGGATAAACTGCACTCTTAATTTTTCACCACCCTACGCTAACTTTCACCACCCTATATAGCGCCATGTACATAGTCTATAAACTGGAATATTAACTCTTTACCGTGTTAGTTTGTTTTAGTTATGCCTATGCCTTCACGGTTACCATAATGGTAGGAATACTCCCCAGCAGAGGCCGCCCTCCTGGGGGAGTAGGGGCACAGTGCCCCCCCACCTTTCAAGCACCCGAAAAGTGCCCCTTTTTACATAGGAATAGTGCTCTTTTACTCTGATAAGTGCCCCTTTTATTTTGACACGTGCCCCTTTTCCTTCGACAAGTTCCCATTTTCCATTGCAATAAGTGTCCATTTTCCATTCTCGTAAGTGCCCTCTTTAATCTCTAGTACTAGGGTAGGGTGGGGAATTGGAGACCCTTAAGCACATTTCCATAATTTACATAAACATGAAAAATGTTACACATACAGAAAGTTTTGTTTTCTCTTTAGTAACTTTTCTCTATTGGGAAACAAAATTGTGGTCATGATGTAACTGATAATAATAAGATAAAAATAATTTATGACGTCATCACCAAAGGTCTCTCATTACCAACATGCGTAGGTAATAAGGGACAGTTACAAATCAAGACATTTCAAACAAGACATCAAGACAAAAATGGGATTGTTATAGTTAGTTCAAACACTTTTGAAAGAGATACATGCAGCCAATGAACTTACTGTAATTTTGAAACGATTTTGAAAGAAGAAATTAATCCCATGTTATCCGCTTGTTATGCTTTATAATTCATTGATATTACAGTATATAACATATTGCAATTTAGTATGGGCCACCAGCGCCAAAATCAGAATCAACTCTATTTATTTATTGCAAAAGAAAGCCCTTCGTATTATGTACTGGTTCACCATTATTTATCTCACACAAGTCCAATATTTTACAAACTGAAAACCTTACAGTATTCGACATAAATTCGCTACAATGTTTACTGATCATGTTTAAGTATTTAAAAAATATGCTCCCTCTTCATTTCAAAACTTTTACACTATGAATAAAGCTATTCACTCTTACCCTACTCGTAATTCCTCAAATTTTCATCTAGTATACCGAAATAAATCCATAAGACACCATGGTCCTGACCTATGGAACTTTCTCCAGAATCTATTAAATCATGTTGCTCCCTCTCAGGGCCGTAGCCAGAGTTTGATGTTTGTGGGGGGGGGGGGGGGGGACACATACATGTAATTGATCGACGTTCTGGAGAGGGGGTCTAAACAATTTCAATTTTTTTGGGGGGGGCACGTGCCCCCCCCCCCCCCCCCGTGGCTACGGGCCTGCTCACTCTACTCATTTAAGGCCAAAGTTAAAACGATGTTATTATCAGAATACTCAAGGTAGAATTTTTGTGTCAACTCTTCATTGTTTATCATGTCATCTCTTCTTTCATTCGAATCATTGTCATCATCATCATCATCATCGTCTTCATCATCATCATCATCCTCATCTGCATTGTCAATATCACCATCATCGAAATTTGTATTTTCAATTACCTATCCGTATCTGCTTAATATGTGTTAATATATTCATGAGTTTTTGTCTGGGGTTGTCGTTTTATCAAGCAATCTGCTTACAATGACAGTCTTCCGCAAATAATTGTATCATGTTTATAATGTTTGAGGAAACTGGTATTTATGACATTTTATAAATTATATATATATATACATATATATATATATATATATATATATATATATATATATATGTATTTGCTAATTTATGATTCATTGTCAGAAAAATACTTATTGTACTTTATATTATTATTGTTTTCGAAAAACTGTATGATTACACGAATGCAGAAGAAAATATAATCAAATCAAAATATACTTATGTTATTTATCTAAGGTCTTTTCAGTCTTCCGTTATGAAAAATGTATTTATAACCCTATCAGGATTGGGGTTTTTCCTCTTTATAAGATGTAATTTTTGCACTGCGACCTCACAAATCTTAACACTTTTCCTCGCTCGCAAATAAATGTTCAGACCATCACACCCAACTGCAAAGCATGATGCATTATGCAATATCTTGTATGGTGTATAAAGTGAAACAAATATTGAAATCATCCCTGATAATGTAAACACAATGTAGGGGTATATACCGAAGTCTAAACAATGTCTATTTTTCTTTTGAGATTTCCCTTTGTAGCTAGGTGCCTTTTTTTCTTCAGAAAGTGTCCTTTTTTCTTGGTGCCCCGCCCCCCCCCCCCCATTTCGAAGTCGCTCGGCCGCCCCTTTTCCCAGTGAGTGGAGACTACAAACTTGCGATTGATTGGAGGACTTACGATTGATTTGGATCAATCGTAACTCTATAAGACGGGGACAACTAAGCTCTCATGAAATTCTCACAATGATACACATCTGAAGTTTGAAAACAATATTAAGACTGCGGACACCAGAATATTTCGAAAACTAATAAAACATTTATTGAGAAATTACAGGAAATGCCAATGCATATATGACTTTTTTTCCTTTCAATTCTATTTTCTCTTCTTCGTTCTCGTAGACATAGCCTCTACGGTAATACATGGCAACATTTAGAATAAAGAATCATTACAATACTGTATAGATCAGGCGCGCCGGAAACATTTGTTTGGGATGGGGGGGGGGGGGGTTTGGGGGTGGCAAACATTCCAGGGGGCTCACCTTCCAGGGGCAGTGACGTAATGAGAAAAAACGTTCGGAAGGGGGGGGGGCAGACGAAAAAATCTGCATCACCACCAGTCTTACATGTTACATGCAGCTCCCGCGGAACGTTTTTCAAAGTGGAGTATTAACGATCAGTAGTAGAGCGTAAATTGGCGTAGGGTCCAGGGCATGAGTCTCGGTAGGGGGGGTCAAGGGGCTGAGCCCCGGAAGCTCAGGGGTTTTAGGTATTAAATTACGGTTAGATGAGCATCCAGGGGCCCTCTTTAAGGCCATTGACGTGTTCCAGGTGGGGAGCCCCCAGAAGCCCAGAGGTTTTAATATTTAACTACAGTCAGATGAGCATCCAGGGGCCGTCCTATACACTCTTATTTCCACGGAGTCAAAAATGGCGTCAGCTGGGAGTCAACTCTATTCCGAGTTAAAGTGACACGGATTCCGAATCAATTTGACTCGGATTGTGTGGCATCAGCTGAGAATTGACTCAATTCAGAGTCAAGATGACTCCTTTTCCGTGTCACTTAACTCGGAATAGAGTTGACTCCAGCTGACGCCATTTAG